GCCTTTTATTATTCTAGCGACTCCATTCGCCGATGAAAAATTGTTATTCTGTTTCAATTTTTTTTACTAAATAAAACAGTCAATAACTCTCTGTTTCATTACTTCAAATTCTCGTGGGAGTTTAATATCACCCGCCCCGGAATGAAAATAAATCCTACATTTTCATATTCCATTGCTCTGTCCCACCTGCCACATCCCTTTGAAGTAACACATTTCACAATTCGCCGTTATTCTCCCTCACTGTCAAAAAAATTTAATATCATTCCAGAAAATATACATGTATAGATCCATAAATTTTCATCAGTATTGTCTGCGCAGATTTAATAATCGAGGGGTTTATAATGTTTCAAAATTTTTATCGAGTGACAATTTCAATTGTATTTCAAGGAATTTCGGGGGGAAAGTCGACTTTCGTCAAAATCGAATTTTTCCGCCGAGTGAACGCTGATTCCGTATTTTTTGGCCCGTCTAATGCCACTGGAACCCCGAAGGCGCAGTTCCCCACGATTGAGACACTTAAAATTCTCCGTTACTACAAAATTTGATGTAAAAGGTACTTGAATATCCTTAAGGAATTTTTGTCTCTCTGCCTCTAAAAAAATCCATAGAAATCCATAGAAATTTCTAATCTCGATTACAGAAAAAGCGCCAACCTTCCTACCTCAATTATTGATAAATAAAACAGTTAAAAATTTGAATATTTGCACTGATGATACTTGAATAATCAAAAAATATAAGAGTTATGTTAACTAATTGACAGCTACAATAGTTAATGGTAATTATATTTTTGAATTTGGCTATTCCTGAATCCTATAGCATTTTCCGTGTAATTAATAGCAATCCCATGTACACACACGCATTCTGTCATGATTTTTTCCTACCATTCTCAAATGAAGATATTCAGTGACACAAATTGAACGCGAGTGTCAATCGATGCTGAAATGAGTTGCGTGTAAGGATCTCACCCCCTTAATCCCATTTCCAGCGATCTCCTACGAGAAGCAGTAACCAATCAGTGGATGTATTTGTCCCGAACGATTCAACGGCGCCGTTGAAACTCCTCCGGGCAATCTTTATACAACCCCGCACCCTATATTTTACTTTGAAACTTTTTCCAGCCCCGTCTCCCATTCAATTCGTCGCGAGGCAAGCTAAACAACGTGACTTCAGTGTATTGGCAACATTTTTGCAGTCACTCGAATTCACATGCAAATATTTCCCGCCGTCAAACGATGTTGTTTCTGCTTGTTTCTACACGAGAGCATTGTAGTTGTGAAAATTTACGATGCTCAAATTTTATTGTGGAATTGTTGGAGCCGAGGAATGGGGTTTTTGAAAATATTTTCTACTGAAATTTAATATTGCATTGGCTTCTTGATGGTGCTTCGGATATTTTGAGACGATTGGGGGGGGTCGGATATTATACAGGAAATTCCTCGGAATTGAATGGAATTCCAATTTTTTTAGCAACAAAAAAACGAGACTTGAATTCTCAATCTAAACATGAATATGTAGTCCCGAATAATGCATTGGCTTCTTTGATGGTCATTCGGATATTTTGAGACGGTTTAGGGGGTTCGGATATCACGAAATTCCTCGGAATTTAATGGAATTCCAATTTTCTTAGCAACAAAAAGACGAGACTTAAATTTTTAATCTAAATATGAATATGGAATCCCGAATCACGTGGACCGTTCCATTAAATTGAAAATTCAAGAATCTATTCACATGAATTTTCATGATTTTCACGAGTTCTCATGTAACAAGTGAACTGGAATTCACGATTTCATTGATTCATAATTTAATAATTATTTTAAAATTCATAATTTTAGGGAAAAAACCTGCCCGTGAGTTTTCCATGATGAAATTCCCTGGAATTGCAATGAAACTGTCGCTTGATAGGAATTCCCAGGTGTACTAGATATTTGAAGCGACAATTCCCAAAATTGTATAGCCAATTCCGTTCATCTCAATTTGGTGATGATTTCAGAAGCCACAATTTAATGGAAAAATTCTTAAAATCGCTAATTAATGAAATCGTGAATCATGGCGAAATTCCCAGGAATTTCAATGAAGCACTTGATAGGAATTCCCAAATGTATGGAGTATTTCAGCCAACAATTCCTAAAATTGTATTGCCAATTCCATTCATCACAATTCGCTGGTGATTTCAAAAATCATGACGGAAAAATTCATGAAACCGTGAATTTGTCGCAACGAAATTCCCTGGAATTTCGATGAAGCCATCGCTTGATAGAAATTCCCAAGAGGTGTGCCAGCTATTTCAGCCAAAAAATCCCAAATTTGATTCAAAAATTCACAATTTCATGGAAAAAAACATGAAATCATGAATTTCCCATTCCGAAACTCCCTGGAATTTCATCGCAGCTATCGCTTGATAGGAATTCCCAAGAAGTGTATCGGGTATTTTATTCAAAAATTCACCAAAATTGGATTGCCAATTCCCTTCATCACAATTCGCGTAAAAATTCACAGTTTTACGGAAAATCTATGAAATCATCAATTTTCCATTCCGAAATTCCGTGGAATTTCAATGAAACTTGCACTTGATAAAAATTCCTAAGAAGTGTACCGGGTATTTCAGCCAAAAATTCCCAGAATTGATTTCAAAATTTACAATTAAAAAATTACAATTTGACGAAAAAAAACTATGAAATCGTGATTTTTCCATTGGGCAATTCCCTGGAATTTCAATGAAACAATCACTTGATAAAAATTCTCAAGAAGCATATTGGATATTTCAGCCAAAAATTCCCAAAATTGAATCCAAATTTCACAATTTTACAGAAAAACCCATGAAATCATGCATTTTCCATTCCGAAATTCCCTGGAATTTCAATGAAACAATCACTTGATAAAAATTCTCAAGAAGCATATTGGATATTTAAGCCAAAAATTCCCAAAATTAAATCCAAATTTCGCAATTTTACAGAAAAACCCATGAAATCATGAATTTTCCATTCCGAAATTCCCTGGAATTTCAATGAAATACTTGAGAAAAATTCCTAAGAGGTGTTCCGGGAATTTCAGCCAAAAATTCCCAGAATTAATTTCAAAATTCATAATTTTACAGAAAAACCCATGAAATCATGAGTTTTCCATTCCGAAATTCCCTGGAATTTCAATGAAGCTATCGCTCAATAGAAATTCCCAAGAACTGTACCGAGTATTTCATCCAAAAATTCCCACCATGTTATTGCCAATTCCCGTTCACTCGTAAAATGCGACAAACGAGAAGCCGTCAAGTGAAGCCCTATGTCCCATCAGCAGTGAGAAGACGACGAAAAAAACCGAATTGAAGGAAACAAGCGAGGGAAGAACGGCAGGGGAAAAAATTGCTTTCACTCTTCGACAGAGCGGGCTTTGGAGATGTATCCATCAAGACATGTACACGCGTAACACCGGACACGTGAGGGCCGCTCAGTTTTCCCACCTGAGAACGTGACACAGGCGGAATTGGTCAAGCGGAGAGAGGCAATTAATCTTTTTCACAAATGGTTTTTTACGGATGAGAAAAAAGAATGTAGAGTGAAGGCGAACGGACAGAGAAAAAAAAGCCTGGAAAAACTCACATGAATTTAACCAAAAAGATTAACGATTTCATCATGCAGAGGTATTGACAGTTCCGGTACGTGCGAGTTATTAATATTTCGGTAAAAATTCTTATCGTCATGCACAGAGAGAAAAAGTTTCTAGTTTCTATATCGAAGTTACTGATGAGATATTGTAATGAGGATAAGACTGTGCTACTGTTGGAATTTTTTCGTCACGGGTGCGTAAAGGGAATTTTACGAAGTGGTAAACCGGTTCGAGTCGACTGATCTCCCCACTGAGTTTTTGAGGAATATTTCCGGATCTAACGGAGATAGCGAAATTTTCATAATTACATTTGTTGTAGCTCTCAATCGGCTCTACAAAAAAGGTTATAACAAAAATTTCGCTATCTCCCTTAGATTCCGAGATATTTATTGAAAACTGGTCAATAGTCAAAATTGACTTATACCGTTCTACCACTTCGCTACTGAAGTCAAGAAGATTGTTTTTTTCATGTTAAGCGATCGATTGATGACTCAATGAAAAAAGTTGTTGCCTGAATTTCCAAATTTTTCAAGGTTTTTGAGAGCCATATGGACCTGAAAATCGAGAGTTACTTGAATTTGCAAGAAATTAACTGATTCGTTAATGAAGAAATACACAAAAATTACATGGGACTTTGTCGTTGTTAAAAATGTCAAGCTTTTCCGTTGTTATCGTGAGAGGAAGAGTCTGTCCAAATTTCAAGTTAACATCTCGATTTTTACACGAGCTAGAGTGATTACAAAGTTTTTTATGAAAAAACTGAAAAACGGGAATATCTCGAAAACTTTGTATGAACGGGTGTATATGTTTTGATTGATTTAGATAGAAGGCATCGGAACGAATATTTTGAAGACAAAAAAATCGAAATCGGTCCACTAGTTTTGAAGATATTTGCGGAAAACGATTTAAAAACGAATGGCTTTTTCTCAAAAACTCTTAGATCGATCGGGCTGAAATTTTGCACAGAGTTAGTCCTCATTGGGACCTATAATCTGACAGAATTTCAGATTTTTTGGAATTACTTAGCCACTTAATTACTCAATTTTCTAAAAATTGACCACCAGACATGATTGCCAAACTTCGTATTTTTACGTTTCAGACCATTCTACATCATTTCCAATCAAAATTAGACAATGTCAAAATAGCACGATTACAATGCTTCCACTCAGAAGCCAAAATCCCTCAATTTAAGCACAATTCCTCTAGACTTACGTCAAAACAGCTGAGAAATTCTCTGATTTTTGGGAAAAAATTCTCAAAATCATTAAAAAAAACCACTTCTTCCTCGATTTTTCCACTGAAAACTAGAAACTTTTCCTCCCCGCCCGCGCGAACGAGTGACAGCACCAAAGCATTGGCCAAAAATACCGAACAAAAAGCCGCAATTTCCTCTCACTCACCTAAATAGAAATACCGAAAAGGCCCAAGGTTTGCCATTCCCGCTGTCAGTCAGTCGGATGCATAGTCTGTGACGGCAACAACACACACTCTCCAGTCACGTTTCAGCATCCCCATGCTCTCACCCACCCGCTCCCCCAACTCACCGATAAATTCTTACAAATCCATTTCCACCGATACGGAATAAAGACGATTGGAGATGATAAAAAGCCTTCCACTCAATCCTGCAAATTCACTCTCGATCCTGACGGCCCGCCGTGACACACAGTCTCGAGTGCTCTTTCCCCCGTCGAATTGTCGTCAACTCCATGGAATATTTTTCGCAAAAAAGTTGATGCAATTTACCGCGGAATATTTCAACACCCGAAAATAAACGCTCCGCACGTGTTGCACACGTCAGGCCCCCACCGCACGCAACTCGCCGTCATTTTCCACTTTTATCTCGCGGAAGATATTTTGTTAATCCGGCAAGATTACTTCAGGAAAATACGGTGAATCCGGGTGTTTCAGGGACTAATTTACTGTCGTCAAGCTCTTCATTACATTTTCCTTCTCCTCAGGCGGTTTTTTAGTGCTTCAATCCTCTCCGACGAGGTGAATTCATTTGCCGATTTTTTTATTTCTTCCAGCATTGCTCTCACTTTCTTTTAATTCATTAAATTATTAAATCCTGAGTTTTGGAATTGTTCTTCTTTATGTTTTTGATTGCTTCGAAGCTTCCAAAGTATTTTCCATCAGTTGTTGCGATGTTTATTCTTCATTACGAGTTGAAAATGTTGAATGATATTTTTTTTAATCAAGATTTTTTAATCGAGGACTTTTAATTGGGTGCGATGAGTATTTCGGGCGCTTCAGCTTTCCCGCGAACGGGAATTTCGAACTGATCGCGGGCCGCGACAATAAATCGTGGGGATAAACACAAACAATGAAGTCTTGGTGCTAGAGGGTATTTGTTAACGCCGACACGTCGAACGGACGACTACCTCTCCCGCAGTCCTGTCGGTTTATCGGAGCGGTGCGGCAGGGAAAGAGGGGGTTTCAATCCCTCCACCGAACACAGTACCCTGCGCCAGCTCAAAGCCGTCAGCCTACGCTGGACTCCAGTAAGTCCTTCGTTTCTTTGCTCCACCTCCCTTACTCGGCGCACCAGAGGCTCCAGCAGCATCCTTTATTTACGGTTTATGCGGAGTAGGATGTCGTTTTTGCGGTTTTTACGGGGGAGTCCGGAAATAAAGAGCTTCTGGTGGTCAGGATCATGGACTGTCGCTTTTTGGACGGTGGAAACTATTTTTATTATTTAAATCCGGGGTAAACAGGTCGAGTCTAGGTTTTTTGATGAACGAAGTTGTAATCATGCTGGAAGAATTATTTGGTTCCACTGAAATTTCAAGGAATTCCGTCAGTGAAAATTCAGTTTGACGAGAAAATCATTGGAAACTGTAATTTTTAGTCAATTTTTTCTATGAAATTAATAGAAATTACAAAAGTATAGGAAAATATATCTTTGAACTTGAAATTAATTGAAAATACAGTGAGTTTTTGGTACTGAACATCCATATTTTGTTAAAAAGAATTTAAGTAACAAAATTAAAAAATCCGAGTATTGCCTCTCTTGCTCTAGGGCACCAGAGGCTCCAGCAGCATCTTTTATTTACGGTTTATGCGGAGTAGGATGTTGTTTTTGCGGTTTTTACGGGGGAGTCCGGAAATAAAGAGCTTCTGGTGGTCAGGGGATCATGGACTATCGCCTTTTGGACGGTGGAAACTATTTTTATTATTTAAATCCGGGGTAAACAGGTCGAGTCTAGGTTTTTTGATGAACGAAGTTGTAATCATGCTGGAAGAATTATTTGGTTCCACTGAAATTTCAAGGAATTTCGTCAGTGAAAATTCAGTTTGACGAGAAAATCATTGGAAACTGTAATTTTTAGTCAATTTTTTCTATGAAATTAATAGAAATTACAAAAGTATAGGAAAATATATCTTTGAACTTGAAATTAATTGAAAATACAGTGAGTTTTTGGTACTGAACATCCATATTTTGTTAAAAAGAATTTAAGTAACAAAATTAAAAAATCCGAGTATTGCCTCTCTTGCTCTAGGGCACCAGAGGCTCCAGCAGCATCTTTTATTTACGGTTTATGCGGAGTAGGATGTTGTTTTTGCGGTTTTTACGGGGGAGTCCGGAAATAAAGAGCTTCTGGTGGTCAGGGGATCATGGACTGTCGCCTTTTGGACGGTGGAAACTATTTTTATTATTTAAATCCGGGGTAAACAGGTCGAGTCTAGGTTTTTTGATGAACGAAGTTGTAATCATGCTGGAAGAATTATTTGGTTCCACTGAAATTTCAAGGAATTTCGTCAGTGAAAATTCAGTTTGACGAGAAAATCATTGGAAACTGTAATTTTTAGTCAATTTTTTCTATGAAATTAATAGAAATTACAAAAGTATAGGAAAATATATTTTTGAACTTGAAATTAATTGAAAATACAGTGAGTTTTTGGTACTGAACATCCATATTTTGTTAAAAAGAATTTAAGTAACAAAATTAAAAAATCCGAGTATTGCCTCTCTTGCTCTAGGGCACCAGAGGCTCCAGCAGCATCTTTTATTTACGGTTTATGCGGAGTAGGATGTTGTTTTTGCGGTTTTTACGGGGGAGTCCGGAAATAAAGAGCTTCTGGTGGTCAGGATCATGGACTGTCGCTTTTTGGACGGTGGAAACTATTTTTATTATTTAAATCCGGGGTAAACAGGTCGAGTCTAGGTTTTTTGATGAACGAAGTTGTAATCATGCTGGAAGAATTATTTGGTTCCACTGAAATTTCAAGGAATTTCGTCAGTGAAAATTCAGTTTGACGAGAAAATCATTGGAAACTGTAATTTTTAGTCAATTTTTTCTATGAAATTAATAGAAATTACAAAAGTATAGGAAAATATATCTTTGAACTTGAAATTAATTGAAAATACAGTGAGTTTTTGGTACTGAACATCCATATTTTGTTAAAAAGAATTTAAGTAACAAAATTAAAAAATCCGAGTATTGCCTCTCTTGCTCTAGGGCACCAGAGGCTCCAGCACCATCTTTTATTTATGGTTTATGCGGAGTAGGATGTCGTTTTTGCGGTTTTTACGGGGGAGTCCGGAAATAAAGAGCTTCTGGTGGTCAGGGGATCATGGACTGTCGCCTTTTGGACGGTGGAAACTATTTTTATTATTTAAATCCGGGGTAAACAGGTCGAGTCTAGGTTTTTTGATGAAAGAAGTTGTAATCATGCTGGAAGAATTATTTGGTTCCACTGAAATTTCAAGGAATTTCGTCAGTGAAAATTCATAATTTGATTAGAAAATAAATCGAAACTGTAATTTCCACATCAATTTTTCTATGAAGTTGATAGAAATGCGGAATGTGCACGCATTTTTTTCGAATTTCATTTTTTGATTCTTTTTAAGAATAAAGAAAATGAATGGAAACTGTAATTTTTAACTCGATTTTTCTATGAATTTTCTATGAAATTAATGGAAATCAGGAAAGTATACGCATTTTGTTTTTAATTTCATTTGTCAGTTCTTCTCAAGGAATTTCGTCATTGAAAATTCATAATTTGAGGAGAAAATAAATGGAAAATCTTTTCAGTGCAATTTTCCAATGAAATTAATAGAAATCCGAAAAGTATAGGCAAACGTATTTGTGAATTTCAAATTCATTGAAAATACAGTGAACTTTTGGTACTGGATATGCCCATTTTATTCGAAAAAATTCAAGAAACAGAATTAACATATTCAAGCATCACGTGCCTTCCTCTAGTGCATCAGAGCCTCCAGTATCATCCTTTATTTACGGTTTATGCAAAGTAGGATGTTGTTTTTATGGTTTTTTACGGGTGAGTCGGGAAATAAAAACCTTCTCTTGGTCAGGGGATCGTGCACCTGTCACGTTTTGGGCAGAGGGAATTATTTTGACGCTTTAAATCCGAATGTAAACAGAGGGTAATTCCGCTTTGGGGTTGAGTCTAGATTTTTCAGAAGTCCTGTAATAATACTGGCGAAATTATTTGGTTTCACTGAAATTTCAAGGAATTTCGCCATTCAAAATTCATATTTTCGTTGACTTGATTTGGAAATAAATGGAAACTGTAATTTTCAGATCAATGTTTCCAGGAAATAATAAATTTAATATATTAGTCATTTAAATTAATTATTAATTGAGTTCAATTAATTAAATCATCTAATTAAATTAACTAACTAAATTAATTTAATTACTTTAATTGAATAATTAAATAATTAAATTAATTTTTTTATAAATTAATACCATTATTAGTGCCATTATTAGTGGATTTTGTTTTTTAAATAGGAATTAAGAAAGAATAAGAAAATATATTTTTAAATTTCAAATTAATTGAAAATACAGTGAATTTTTGGTCCTGAAGATTCATATTTTGTTGAAAGAAATAAAAAAACAGAATTCAAAAATCCAAGTAACTTGGGAAATTCTCATCTTCGAAATTTTGCTAGTAAGAATTTTTTTTTGTTTTTAGATAAAATTTCTGATATACTCAGTGAAACTTTTGATCAAGCTTCGGTTTCACTGAAATTTATTCTGTAATAATTCTTGACAATTACTTTCCGAAATTGTGTTCCTTCGACTTTATTATCCGTAAGATAACACTCTAATTATGTTAAAGTTCGAGAGACCATACATTTTTGAATACAAAATTGAAAGATAACCGTCTAATCCATTGTTAAACGTTTCCTCAATATAAATTTGATAAATTGGTCTACATAAAACTAAAATTAGAAAATGAAATTGAAAATTAGAATCCATCAAAAAAATAGAATCTCTCTAGAAAGAATCGGAAGAGAATAAGTCATGTAGAAAAATCAGAATAAATTTACCCGTAAACATCACTAAAAAATTTTAATACACTGGTGGTTAGGTCTATACACGATAAATAAATAAATAAATAAATAAATAAATAAATGAATAAATTAATGAATGAATAAATGAATAAATTAATGAATGAATAAATGAATAAATAAACAAATAGAATTTCACTAAAATGTCTCGCCAATTCCGCTAGAATTCTTATAATAAAATATTCTGGAAAATTCGCTTCATTTTTCTAATAATTTTTTTCTTCACACGCAGTTCTATTTTCTTCTACTCCGCTTATTCACGTCTATTTCTTTTTCGTTTTATCCTCTAACCCACGTCACAGTTTTTATGAACCTTTTCAGAGTTCGCAACATCCCGCGGGCAAAAACCGGGCTAAACAGAGCGGAAAGTGATCGATTAATAGATCTGCTGGATTTTTATCGACTTATTTCCGTCGGGATGAAAGCGAGATTTGAAAAATTCTGCAGTCGCTAGCAGCATCTGCCGAGGAATTTCAGAAGTTTCGGGAGAAAAAATACGCGATCGTATGTGGGGCAGGGGGGGACATCTAGCAGCCGATGGGTTTATCAGTGTTATCTCGGAGCATTTTGGAGCACTGGGGAGCATAACTGATCATAACCTTCAAATAATATTCAATATTTTGCGACGATGGCAAATAATCGGGAGTTAATGTCAATTGAATAAGTTTATTCATTTAGACTAGAATTTTTGGTGATATGGCGAGGTACTCGAGTGACTCTGATTCGGATCGGAGTGGAAAGTATCGAAAGAAGCATTACAGGAGATCCAGGTAATTGAAAGACTATATTTTCTTTTTGTTGACGTTCGCGTGATGGAGTTATTCCGATATTGACGATGGTCAAACAATTGTTATTAAAAATTGGAAGAAGAGAGTAAATTCCCGTCGTTTCTTCATGAAAAATTGATAAACTGTGAAAGCTGTCATATTTTTATTTTTTTTAATTAATTTGTTTATTAAAAAGAGAAACGATTTCAAAATTCAAAACATCATTCGATCAGGAAAATTGATACTTTCAAATTATGCAATGGTATCAATTATGCATGACAAGAAAAATAATAATTAATAATTAATCATTTCAAAAAAATGAATAATTTTTAAAAAATAATTATTAATTAATAATTAATAATTTTGTTATGCATTGGCAAAAAAATAAGCAAAAAAAAATTTTTGCTTATTTTTTTATTATTTAAAATTAAAAGAAAAGTAAAAAAAAAGTGAAAAATTTTTACTTATTTTTTTTATTTTAAAATTTTTTTTTCTTCTTTATTTGCAGAAAAAAAAATTTGCCAATGAATAGTCAACCCGTGAAGCCTTTCCTTAACCTCCCCTCAATACTTTGTTAAAATTTCAGCCATTCATATTGGATAGAATCAGAGAAAAATTAAATGAAAAAAAAAACTTTTACGACCGCTTAAATTATTGTCAGTGATTCACTGAGCCTATTCTGATCAGATCCAGCAGTTCAGACTCCAGCGACAGTTCCTCATACCGTAAACGATCCTCCAAATATTCCAAATCACGAAGGCATCGACGCTCTCGTTCGAAAAGCCGAGATAATCAGAGATCTTCAAAAAGTTACAAGTCGTCTCGAGGGAGTTCGAGGGATAGGGACAGGCATAGGTACAAATCTCCCGAGAGAAATAAAAAAAAGACGAGATCTGCTTCGAGGGAAAAATCCACGAGTCGATCCAGCAGTTCTCAGTCTTACGTCAAATCGACGACCGAGAAGAACGTCAATATTCTGGCCAAAGGTATAATTCACCCCTCGGAAGGGGAGAAATTTGAATAAAAACATAATCCACAGGATTCCTGGGGTTTTCACTTGCAGATGAGTTTACCATCGAGCCAAGAATAAATGAGAGCGTTCTGGATGAAATTAATGCATCGGGCTTCACTCAAAAGCAGTTTACGTCATCGGCTCACAGCAAAGAGAAGAAAACAAACAAAAATATTGTGATTGACATAACTGCAGACACTATTCAAGTACCTCCAGCTGTGAAAACCTCCTCGACGATTCATGAGAGTATTTTTCATACTTCTGTAAGTGGACATGAAGATAAATAATTATTGGTCATTTTCGTGTCTGAATAGGGACTTCTGCATTTAAAAAACAAATTCAAACTGGAATTGTTTCAGAATATTTTCGGTTCTGTCAGTCTAGGGTAAAACAATTCTTATTTCGACTCACAGAATTTGGAAATTACCCAAACACAAGTGGGAAATTGATGTTGAATTGCATATAGTATAGTTATTTTAGCTAATAAATTAGCAATATGCACATCATTTGCTCCTATCATATATATAATTCATTGTTTATTTCATTTTATTAAATTGAATAAGATTTCTTTTCAACTAATTTTGTCAAATTTTCAACTTGGTAATGTTATCATCATAATTATTCTTATTATCCCTTTCTTCTGTACAACCGATTATCTTTTTTACGGTTCTATCTCTCCCATCAGCCCTTCGATAAAATGTTAATGGAAACATTTTATTTACACATACTTGAATGAATTTGAAACATTACATTTGAAGAAACCATCGGAAAGCTCACTTTCAGGGAAATTCATGAAAAATTCGAAATTTTCAACAATCATCATAAAAATCAAATCAACCAATATAGCTATCGTAATAATCTTTTAGCTTCGACTTAATGGCATTAAAACAAACATTTTAAGCTATGATTGAATTCATTTAAAGCATGATATGCAAAGATATCCACGGAATTCTGATTTTAAAAAAATACAAAATTTTTGCAAATTTTGAAATAAATCAAAATAACGATTATTGCTATCGCCTTGATCTTCGAACTCGGTCAGAATGACATCCAGACAGAATTTTTAAGCCATCATTCAATCAATTCAGAAAATTTGTTTATTTATTGCGGGACAACTAATTTTCGAAAAAATTAGAAAATTAAAAAACTGATCGATGAATTCATTTTTAATTAATGGCGATCGATAGCGTTCAACAATACCTGCATTAAAAAGAATTAATTCCATCCATTCATTACACTGTTAGAAAATTACTCTTGAAATAAAAAATGAAAAAACTTGAAATTTTTAAAAACACTAAATTTACATGAAATTTATCTCCATTTTGTTACTGAAAAATCAGGTAACTTCTTTGAATATTCAATCTAATTCTAATTTCCCGATCTATACCACAACGGAAATGATTGAAAATAATAAAAATCCTGGCAACTATTTAACGGAATTCTCAATTTATTGAAAATTAAATTAAATTTCATATCCAATTTTGATAATGAAGCCTAAAATTCAAGCTGTTGAAATATCGATGATAACTCACCACGAAAAACTAAATTTTCGAACTTTTTGAATCATATTGGGTCAATATAACATAAAAAATCCAAAACTTAAATTTGAATTAATTAATATAAACCTAATTAATAATATAATTATTGATATATTTAATAGTATTATTAGCTATATCATTAATTATATTCGTAATGAAAAGAATAAACGTGTCACAATGAATTTAAGCGATAGATTAAGAGAAAACATTATTAATTCATTATTCAATTCAATTATTTATGAGAACGCAATAATTGTCATTTTCTCCTTGCTTTCCCTCCAAACTTCATTAAAAAAATCGTTTTTCAGATTATGATGGACCAAGACGCTCGTTTCGACAAATGGGTAAAAAAGCTGTTCAACTTGCGACAGAAAGCTATAGTAGAATTATTCTCAACTGCCACCTCTCAGTAATAATTAATATCAACTAACAAAAAAATATTAAACCCCAAAATGTACAAAGCCAAAATAAACTAAATACCAACCATAACATTAATATTTTCTTTATTTTACCACTCTTACAGCATTATCGCTTAGACATTGATAAATTCGTATTCGAATAATTCCCTCTAATGAATATAAGTGACAAAAGTACAATACCTAATGTATATCTACCTTAACTAATCATACTAAACTTAATTGTATAGAAAAATGCTATTGGAATGAAAATTACGTGCATTGACTTGCAAATTATTCCGAAAAATTGATTCTATCCGTATTGATCACGCAATTATGTATTCAAAGCAATATATACAATAAAAGAGATACAAAACACGTCTGTTACACACGAGTATTTCTTACGTATATTTTTTTTCTCGTTAAATAAAATGATGACATCTACTTGGGTAGGTCTCTGTCAGCCTTATGAATTTTTTAAATTTCATATCACCACTGATTTGGCTTTACTGGTGCTACCACAGATTTCTAACGATCCTGCAAAAATCAGCTAGTGCAATTCAGTAACGAAATCGATGAAACAGTTCAAGTCAACTTGAGTTTCCGCCGAGTTTTTGAGGAATATCTCCGAATCTAAGGGAGATGGCGAAATTCTCGTAATGACCTTTTTTGTCGAGCGAAGTGAGGGCTACAAAAAAGGTCATGACAACAATTTCTCTATCTATCTTAGATTCCGAGATACTCGTCAAAAACTACATGAACCGTTTTACCTCTTCGCTACTGAATTCCCAAAAGTTCACTCTTTATCAGATGAAATTGACGGATGGCGTTGGAGTTTTTCGTTCTTCGAGAGTATCAGAAACTCCAGAATAATTAATTATGGCTCATTAGGTCGTTCTGTAAAAGCTAGACAGCTCTGGTTGAATTTTCAAAGCTATCAAATCAGTAAAGTGATAAAACGTATTCAAGGTGAACGTGAAGTCTCCAATAATTATACATCTCCCCAAGGATTCAGTGATTCTACGAGAGAATTGGAAAAAAATGTAAAGCTGAGAGAACCTCTCGACTGAAATGTCTTCTAACGAATCCTCCTGGAATCACTGATTCCCTGGACAATCCCATAACCACGCAGATGAGATATAATTGAACTGCTTTATCAACTTTTTCTGAAACACGATTGAATAGAAATTCCGGTTGATGATGGGGGAGGGGCAAGTGTTTATTATATCTACTGAGTGATTCTTCTGTCATTTTCTTTTAAGATATAATTTTTCTTTAATTTTTTATTGGATTAATTTATTTTGCCGAGGCTTTCTCCTGGACCTCCTCCATGTTTGAGATGTCGTATTCGACGATGTTGTATCCTGCGAATTGGCCGAAGAGGACACCGTCAACACTTCGTTTGACAATACCTGGGAAATAGAGAAAAAGTTGATTGAGAGTGAATTTTCAAAGTGAATTAGGAGAGGATTTTTTTGCTTTCGAATGGAGGTTGTGCATTCTTTCAAATTTAAGTTTTCGATTTTATGGATTATATCAACTCTTTATTTAATTAATTAATATAATGTCATTCATTAAAATTAATTAATTAAATGTACAAAAAATTGCTCAATTTTGTTTTCTATCTCTTTTTTTAAATGAATTAAATTAATTCAATTAACTTCATTAAAATTAATTAATTAATTTTTATCCTACGACAACTAAAAAATGTTCTGAATTAGCTGAGCGATGGCTTTAAAAATTGTGTCAATATCCCTGTAATCGAGTTCAAAGATGAAGGTGATAGTAATAATAAGGAATTTTTAAAAATGTTTTGATTTATAGAATAATTTTCAAAAATTTCTAATTTTTCTAAGATTTCTCGGAAAGAGAATTGTCCCACGGTTTCAAATTCATTTAATTATGCATGAGAAAAATTTTTCTAATATCGAAATTTCAAGATAATACAGATAGCATCATTCTTTCATTTGATTTATCCAAGAATTTTTTAAGAAATCTAACACAATTGATTAAAGAAGAAATATCATTCAATTGAACGAAACAATATAAAATGACAAATGATCTACAATACAAGAAAATGATGTGCAAGATGATCATTCGGAAGCATATTGTTGATTTATTGGCAAAAATGTTTATGAAATTTCAAGTTTTAGGTAGAATTCAAAAAAATTCATGAGTTTTCAGTGGAAGTAGAACAGAAATTTCACAAATTCCATGTATTTCCAATAGAACATGAATATTCAGAAACAAAATGACATCAATTTCAAACTTTTTCCTGAATTTTCCTGATTTTTCCGAATTTCCACGGAATAATAAAACTGAAAAATGAAGTATTTTACTCATTTTCAGACCCTTCGAACCGAAAATCAACAGAATACTTGATTTGTCAACGAGAAGATTTCCTGAAACTTCAGTGGAAATAAAACATGACAAAAATTTCCGGAATTCGACACTGAAAATTCCGAAAATTTTAAACTCATCTTCACTGAGATTGATGTAATTACCATTATTGGAGTTACTGATCTTTTCCAACTGATAAATAGGCATGCGCTTGCACTCTCGAGCAATGTAAGTTCCCACTGATGATCGATCACTGATGGGCGGAATTGTTGCCTTCATAGTCTCCCTGACTACCTCAGTGTTTACGTCGTATTCTCCTGTCAATTGAGCATAAAATTTTATTGTCTTGCTAAAATACGTGAAACACTATTTGTCCAATAGACGTTACCCACCGTTGTACATCTTGTTGAGTAGATCGTACATGTTCTTGGGAGGCAGAACTCTCTGTCTGTTCAACGGCATGACAAAGCAGGAGTGACTGTCAAGGTCAATAATGCCTGTGAGGTTCTGCAATGGGAACGATAGATTATTCAATTGATTTTTTCAATTTTTTGTCTTTAATTCGTTCTTCTTATCGTTTCTTCTTTTATAGTTGAAGAGGCCTAAGCAATGGGCAATGGAAAAATTTATGGATCAGGCGAAGAATTCCTGAGAAAATATCTGATAATGTATTTCAGCTTCGTTGCAGAGGGATGAGAGTGCTATATATTGTAAGTTAAAAATTCCTTCAGAACTTGGCACAGTCGTCTGTGTGGAAGGCAGCTTGGGGAAAATTCTCGATTCGCTTTTAAGCTCGACTGCACTGTGAGGAATTTATTCTTCAAATTGCGAGTGAAAAATCGTGAAATTCTAAAAATTTATAGTTAATTCTAATATATTTTGTTATTGACAAACTAGCGAATTTAATTATACTATTGTATTTTATTTTATTTTCATTTACGTCTTCCCAATCAGATTAATCTAATTTTATCCATTCTTATTCTTATTATATATTTTTTTAGTAAATTTGTAATAAATTACTGCTGCTGACCTGAAAATGGCCCGAATGAATTTCAAGAATTTCAAAGCAAATGGTCGAGAACAACAATTTCCTTTATATATATTTTTTCCTTAATTCACAAGTTGCAGCATTGAATGAAGAGGAATTATATTAAAGACCAATAATTTTTTATAAACAAATTTTGTTTTGTGTTTTTTTTGTGATCAAAACAAACACACAAAAGTCATTCGAAATCTCATTCGGACATTGGAAAAATCTCTCCATGTATTTCTGAAAATTTTTTTAATCCATTTTTATGAAATTATTATGAAAAGGAAATAAAAACAGAATCGGAAAGCAATAATCGACTGAAAAATGGATTTTTTTCTTCTTTTATGTCGGAGGGAACTTGGAGTCATTTTTTTTCTTCAAATATTAGAGGGACATCAATATTCCGCGAGAAGAATTTTAAAAAATGCCGAAAAAGTGGGCGGGAGGAACTAAAAAAAATAATTTTTCGATGCGAAATTTTTAAAATCTATTTTTTTTAATAATGAAAGAATACTCATAAATTCGATTTCTATCCTCGTCTTTTGATAGAATAAATAGAATTACATAAATATCAACGAATTACAAAAATCACGAATTGGAGACTGAAAATTATTAGAAGATATTTTAAAATTTTATGATTTAATTTTAACGAGAAGCAGTTTAAAAAAATTGATTCTTCCATATCTCCGGCAAATTTTAAAATCGATATATTTTTTCGAATAATGAACGAAATACCCATAAATTCGATTGCTATCCTCGTCTTTTGATCGAATGAATAGAATAAATACCAGAAATTGAGAATTGAAGACTAAAAATTTTATCGGATTATTATTACGCATTAGTAATGTAATAATAATAATAATCATTTAATTTTGTGAATATATAATGACACTGAATTGAATAGAAATCAAATTTGAATTAAAATGAAATTGTGATGTCATCAAATAAAATTCCTTTTCGTCAAAACAAACCCAAAAATAAAAATGAAATAACGAAATAATCATTCTAATAAATACGTACAATATTAAAATCGTGGATGAATCGTCCCTCTCGTCCACCCCTGAAGTCAGGCACATCAATCTCCTCGTGCTCATTCTCAAGATCAATTTCAAAGCTCTCTTGGAAGAAATTACGAATATTATCTTCAGCCGATTCTTCAAGCACCAGTGCCTCCCTTTCAGTGTTCCGTGCAAAGGTTTTGAATAGGTTAGTGTCAGGTGGTATTCCAGCGGCCAATGCATCACTCAACAATGGCAGTTTGTTGTCCATTCGTTCGTAAGGAATGCTGTACCAGCCAGTCCTGAATCTGTGCATTTGTTCTCTTGCATAACGCTTGTAGATATAAACACCACCAATGACACCGATGCTCATGCCAAGTAGTGCGGTGAATAAGAGACAATAGAGTGTCATTGAATTCGGGCCAAGATTTGGTCTGATCCTCCGCAGAATCAGATAATGCCCGGCCATGTCTCGTTGGGGGCGTTGAGCCTCTGGATCCCCTTTGTTTTCCTGAATTGGAAAATTGCTCGTTGGAATGGCTTTTCAGTCCCTTTTGCGTTGGGGATTTTTGTGCGTTTACATTTTTCGGAAATGTTATTTTTTCGCTTTCGAGGGAAATTCGGTAATGTCTTAGAGTGATAGGGGAATGCGGATAACAACCCAAGACAGGTTCTTCTTGTGTCCTTCCTTCTTGAAAAATTTAAATGAAAGGGTTCTCTTGCATATTGATTCCTTCTTGACGTCCTCGGGGTTAAATATTTAAGCACTTCATGTAAAAGGGACGATGTAAACGTGGTATATATATTTTTTTTTGTATTCTTGTAACTTTTTTAGCAAAATAAACCGAATGGTTTGAATGCTACAAATAAAAAAAACAGGCTTGTGAAAAAATATACTGAATTCAATGGCCAATGAAAAATCTGGGTATCCAGGCAAAGAAGGCAGCTGTGATTTCCGGAATTGAGAAATTGCTCGTTGGAATGGTTTTTCAGTCCCTTTTGCGTTGGGGATTTTTGTGCGTTTGCATTTTTCGGAAATGTAATTTTTTCGCTTTCGAGGGAAATTCGGTAATGGTTTAGAGTGATAGGGGAATGCGGATAACAACCCAAGACAGGTTCTTCTTGTGTCCTTCCTTCTTGAAAAATTTAAATGAAAAGGTTCTCTTGCATATTGATTCCTTCTTGACGTCCTCGGGGTTAAATATTTAAGCACTTCATGTAAAAGGGACGATGTAAACGTGGTATATATATTTTTTTTTGTATTCTTGTAACTTTTTTAGCAAAATAAACCGAATGGTTTGAATGCTACAAATAAAAAAAACAGGCTTGTGAAAAAATATACTGAATTCAATGGCCAATGAAAAATCTGGGTATCCAGGCAAAGAAGGCAGCTGTGATTTCCGGAATTGAGAAATTGCTCGTTGGAATGGCTTTTCAGTCCCTTTTGCGTTGGGGATTTTTGTGCGTTTACATTTTTCGGAAATGTTATTTTTTCGCTTTCGAGGGAAATTCGGTAATGTCTTAGAGTGATAGGGGAATGCGGATAACAACCCAAGACAGGTTCTTCTTGTGTCCTTCCTTCTTGAAAAATTTAAATGAAAGGGTTCTCTTGCATATTGATTCCTTCTTGACGTCCTCGGGGTTAAATATTTAAGCACTTCATGTAAAAGGGACGATGTAAACGTGGTATATATATTTTTTTTTGTATTCTTGTAACTTTTTTAGCAAAATAAACCGAATGGTTTGAATGCTACAAATAAAAAAAACAGGCTTGTGAAAAAATATACTGAATTCAATGGCCAATGAAAAATCTGGGTATCCAGGCAAAGAAGGCAGCTGTGATTTCCGGAATTGAGAAATTGCTCGTTGGAATGGTTTTTCAGTCCCTTTTGCGTTGGGGATTTTTGTGCGTTTACATTTTTCGGAAATGTTATTTTTTCGCTTTCGAGGGAAATTCGGTAATGTCTTAGAGTGATAGGGGAATGCGGATAACAACCCAAGACAGGTTCTTCTTGTGTCCTTCCTTCTTGAAAAATTTAAATGAAAGGGTTCTCTTGCATATTGATTCCTTCTTGACGTCCTCGGGGTTAAATATTTAAGCACTTCATGTAAAAGGGACGATGTAAACGTGGTATATATCTTTTTTTTTTGTATTTTTGTAACTTTTTTTAGCAAAATAAACCGAATGGTTTGAATGCTACAAATAAAAAAAACAGGCTTGTGAAAAAATATACTGAATTCAATGGCCAATGAAAAATCTGGGTATCCAGGCAAAGAAGGCAGCTGTGATTTCCGGAATTGAGAAATTGCTCGTTGGAATGGTTTTTCAGTCCCTTTTGCGTTGGGGATTTTTGTGCGTTTGCATTTTTCGGAAATGTAATTTTTTCGCTTTCGAGGGAAATTCGGTAATGGTTTAGAGTGATAGGGGAATGCGGATAAAAACCCAAGACAGGTCCTTCTTGAAAAATTTAAATAAAAAGGTTCTCTTGCATATTGATTCCTTCTTGGCATCCTCGGGATTAAATATTTACGCACTTCAGGTAAATTATTATAATTAATTAGTCAAAAATGACCATAAACATGGGATATATCATATATCTTTTTGTAACTCTTTTTTAGTAAAATAAACCGAATAGTTTGAATACTATAAATTTAAAAAAGACGGCTCTTCCGGATTTTATCATATTTATATTTTTGAATCACTAATTCACCTACTGAAGAGTTCTAAAAATAGAAATAAAAATCGAGGGCAATGTGAACAAAATATATGAAAATAAAAAATGAAACTATTTCTGGAATTCAAATCTGGAATTATTTGCCGATTTGATGAGATGAAATGTAGAAATTTTTTTTAGACACTCTTATGGATTTTATTTTCGAATGAATAATTCGACTGCTGGAAGACTTCAAAAATAAAAATAAAGGTGGAGGGCAATGCGAAGAATTCACACTTGATATGCTGAATTCAATGGCCAATGGAAAATCTAGGGCAATCAAGGCAAACAAGGCAGCTTTGATTTCCTGAATCGTGAAATTTCTCGTTGGTTGCATTTTTCGAATATGACATTTTTTCTTGTTCACGGAAAATTCGGTAATATTTTAGACTGGGGAATATGCATAAGAAATCAACGTTTCTGATGATTAAGAGAAATTATTTTCAGTCGCTCTGACAAAATTAAGTAAATAAATTGTCTTGTGTACTAATTTTCTTGTCACGGGCTCTTACGAATTCTATTTTCGAATTAATAATTCACCTACTGGAAGTCTCTAAAAATAGGAATAAAAATGGCTTTGTGAATAAAATATGTGAAAAACAAGTATGAAACCAAATTTCTGATCATTAAGAGGGATTATTTGCAGATTTGACGAAATGAAATGTATAAATGTTTCTTATGCACAGACTCTTATGGATTTTGTCTTCGAATTAATAATTTAACTGCTGAAAGACTCTAAAAATAAAAAATTCAATACCTAATGAAAAATCTGGGGTATCCAGGCAAACGGGCAGCTTTGATTTCCTGAATTGTAAAATTTCTCATCGGAATGGCTTCAGTCCCTTTTACATTGAGGATTTTTCTATATTTGCATTTTTCAAGAATAAAATTTTTTCTTGTCCGAGGGAAATTCTATAATATTTTAAACTGGGGGAATATGCACAAGAAATCAACATTCCTGATGATTAAGAGAAATTATTTTCAGTCGTTCTGACAAAATTAAGTAAATAAATTGTCTTGTGTACTAATTTTCTTGTCACGGGCTCTTACGGATTCTATTTTCGAATTAATAATTCACCTACTGGAAGTCTCTAAAAATAGGAATAAAAATGGAGGGCTTTGTGAATAAAATATGTGAAAAACAAATATGAAACCAAATTTCTGATCATTAAGAGTGATTATTAGCAGATTTGACGAAATGAAATGTATAAATGTTTCTTATGCACAGACTCTTACGGATTTTGTCTTCGAATTAATAATTCAACTGCTGAAAGACTCTAAAAATAAAAAATCCAATACCTAATGAAAAATCTGGGGTATCCAGGCAAACGGGCAGCTTTGATTTCGTGAACTGTAAAATTTCTCATCGGAATGGTTTTTCAGTCCCTTCTACATTGAGGATTTTCATATATTTGCATTTTTCAAAAAAAAAATTTTTCTTCTTGTCCGAGGGAAATTCTGTAATATAAAACTGGGGGAATATGCACAAGAAATCAACATTCCTGATGATTAAGAGAAATTATTTTCATTAGCTCTGATGAAATGAAGGGAACAAATTTTCTCTTGTACGCAGGCTCTTACGGATTTTATTTTCGCATTGATAATTCACCGACTCTAAAAATAGAAATCAAAATAGAGGGCACTGTGAACAAAATATATGAAATAAAAACACATAAAATCGACGTTTCTGATGATTATGGTGAATTAATTGCAGTCGCGCTGATGAAATGAATTTTATGGATTATAACAGTCTTATGGATTTTATTTTCGCATTAATAATTCACCTCCCGGAGGGCTCTAAAAATAATGAAGCTGAAACTAGCAGAATATTCGTCAGCGGAAAATTCAATTTCGATTTTCGGTAGAATTACGAATATTAAAAAAAATTTAGAATTTCGAAAAAAAATATATTCATGGTGGAAAACTGATTGTTTATAAACGATTTTTAAAAACTGCTGTGAGCTTAAAAAATCACAACTTCACAATAATTTTATAAATATTGCTCCAAAGGGGAACCGTCTAACTTTTTTTTCAAATTTTTAAATGATTTTTTAAATGTTTAAAGTTTGAATCACAAAATAATTGCAAAATATGTGAAAGCCCAGGCCCAAACAAAGTTGAAAAAAAATCGAAAGTTCTTTGATCTTGTGCGCTTGCAGATAAATATTCTCAAATCAAATTATGCAAAACGAAAATATAATAAAAATTTGTTTTAATGACATTTGTCCCCCAAACACTTCAAAAATGTAAAAAGCAAAAAGAATTAAAAACCATCCAGAAAAAACAGAAATTCATAAAATCGATTTCTGGTAGAATTCTGAATATAAAAAAAAATTGTTACAATTTTGAAAAAATAATATTCATCATCGAAAATTGATTGTTTATAACCAATTTTTTTAAAAATATTATAACATTAAAAAATCACATCTCAATAATTTTATAAATATTCCTCCACTGGTGGTTAACTTTTTCAGATTTACCCCAACCTCCCCTAGGGGAGGGTAGGGTAAAATGGACACTTTAGACTTTTTTAAAATTATTCATAACTCAGAAACAAATGCATCAATAGAGCGCAGTTGAGGCTCATCACAAAGGGTAAGAATTGTTCTTTGCATTGAAAAAAAAAATTATTAAATTTCATCGCCATTTCAACTTGTCATTAACATTTTTAAAAAAGTCAAAAGCGTCCATTTTACCCCAACCTCCCCTACTCAAAAAAAAAAAAGCAAAAAGAATTAAAAAACGTATCCAGAATAAACCAGACCGCTGAGTTCCGCGAATTAGCGCGTCATGCCACAATCCCACGAGGAAAACCGACGAAAACTGTGGGAAATATTCCAGAAAATGCAGTCAAGAAACGTGAGACAGCTTATCGAAGCAACGCCCCGTTATTATGACGTGGGGCATCAACTTCCTCCAATAATACATGGGGATGACAGCTCTGAATTTAAAACGCAATTTCTCTCGCGACCGTTTGCCGACACCCAGAGACGAAAAAGCCCCAAAAACGACATTTCGGGTCTTCGTTATTGTTGTTAAGGGTAAGTTCAATGTGCTATTGTGTACACGAGTACCAATGACCCCTTTAATCATCAAAATATTATGAAACAGTCCAGGAAGTCTCCCAGAATTTCCTCTAAAATCCTTTCGCATAAAAAAAAAATTCCCTCAGATGTTTTTTCGTCTCGGCCCTTTGAGCCGGAGTAATTTTCATGTTTTTGTCGTGCAGAAAAAGGGAAACAAACCGTCGACTCGTCCACAACTAATGGCTGCTCCATTTTATCCGCAGGCTTCTTCTCCAGAATCGCTTTAGTGATGACCGTCATTCTGGCTAGCGTTCGTGCTTCACTCCAAAAATCACTGAATCTAAATGCCGATCAGAAATTAACTGGATCCTCCAGCACTTGACACGTTTGAGGGCTTGAGATATCGGTAATAAACACTGAATTAATGATTTTTTGTCGCGAAGGGAATTACAAACACGGCCACCGGAATTCGATTGATCGAGTGACGATCGCGCCTGTCTCAACTTGCACTCTGCCGCAATCTGTTTCGTCCCCCCTCCGCAGCTTATTCAACGACAAAGTTCGCGTTGCTTCGAGATGAATCGGCGGCACGACGCATGCGCGGAATTCAGGGCTGATTCTCATGTGGAGGGCCGAATCATTAATATCGGTATGAAGGTATTCGATATTGGTATTCGAAAAAAAAAATATCGTTTTTTCGCTTCGCAAATTTAGACTTTGATATTGACGAAAAAATATCGAATGTCGATCTATTAGTCGTTACAAGTATCGACAGAAACATATATTGAAAGCAATATTGCCCTTTTTCTTGATAAAATTTCATTTATTCTCTTTTAAAATCCTAGACTAGAAAAGTGAAAACAAATTTAGACTTCGATATTGACGAAAAAATATCGAATATCGATATATTAGTCAAATATCGGCAGATCGATATACAATTTTGGCGACTTCGATATATCGAGAGGTATCGCCCATCTCTGTAAAAAAACTAGCATTATAAGGCGCGTTCATCAAAGACTCAATCTTCATCAACACAAACTGTCATATTTTTTTTTTCTAATCGATAGCCGACAGTTGTTTGCATTGGTAATCGATATTTTCTTTCGATTAAAAAAAAATCGACACCTCGCAGTTTCGAGATTTGGGCTGCTTTTTGGGTAACACGGATCGATATTTTCATTCGATTTAAAAAAATCGACACTTTGAAATTTTGGGATTTGGACTGCTTCTTGAGTAACACGGATCGATATTTTCATTCGATTAAAAAAAATCGACACCCCGCAATTTCGAGATTCGGGCTGCTTCTTGAGTATCACTTATCGATATTTTCATTCGATTAAAAAAAAATCGACACTTCGCGATTTGGATATTTGAACTGCTGCTTGAGTAACGCGGATCGATATTTTCATTCGATTAAAAAAAATCGACACCTCGCAATTTCGAGATTCGGGCTGCTTCTTTAGTAATACGGATCGATATTTTCATTCGATTAAAAAAAAATCGACACCTCGCGATTTTGATATTCGGGCTGCTTCTTTAGTAACACGGATCGATATTTACATTCGATTAAAAAAAAAATCGACACTTCGCGATTTTGATATTTGACTGCTTCTTGAGTAACGCGGATCGATATTTTCATTCGATTAAAAAAAAAATCGACACCTTGCGATTTCGAGATTTGGGCTGCTTTTTAGTAATACAGATCGATATTTTCATTTGATTAAAAAAAATCGACATCTCGCAGTTTCGAGATTTGGGCTGTTTCTTGAGTAACACAGATCGATATTTTTATTCGATTAAAAAAAATCGACACCTCGCAGTTTCGAGATTTGGGCTAGTAATACGGATTGTTCGACAATTTCCCAGTAAAAACCGATGCCTTTGCGAACGCTCTCGTCTTTCGGCCGCATTCACCCGAAGCCCGTGCATCTCCCGTCTCTGTTCACTCGACTGCCCAGTGGATTGACTCAGTTCCGCGAGCGCAGTTGCTGAGGTAACACCGCGGCGTTACCTTCCCCCGTCTAAAAAACCCGTAGAAAAAAAAAGAATAAAGAGCCAAACGGTCAGAGTGCCCTGTTAGCCGCGTAGCTCCGTAGGAAGCGAGTAAAATCATGGCGTCGGCGAAGAGAAAGCAGGACGAGAAGCATCTCAAAATCCTCCGCGAACTAGTGTCACAAGTTGGTAATAAAGAGTGTTTCGATTGCAGACAGCGTGGACCAACGTACGTAAACATGACAATTGGCTCGTTCGTCTGCACCTCATGCTCCGGAATGTTGTGAGTATTGAATCCCAGTTTGCACTTCCTCGTGTCTAACCATTTACATAAGAAACATTAGCGCCAAACAGCGTTGGCTCGACTGCCGATCAAAAATACTCTCAAAACCCCGTTACCCAGTCCCGTAATTATTCCCCCGGTGTTAATTACCCCAGTCCCATTCGGCCCCTGAAAAAAATCATCTGGAGCCCCTGGGACGCGTCAATTGACAGGTCATTTCATTGTTGTCTTTTGGCGTTGATGCTCGTGACGTTTTAATTGTCGATCAAACGGATTTTTTTTCTTTTGTCTTCCCCCTTGCGATGGGCCCGGAGTCTAGGCCCTAGACTGACCTCGATTCATAAATTTGTTTAAGTTATTGATATTTAAAAAATTAAAATGTCAAATTGTCCATTTTACCCCACCCCGTTGGCTCCTCGTCCCCAGCGAATCCTGTGATCTTTAAGTTTTTTTTTTTATAGCAAAACCTCTGCATCTGTTCAATGCAAACCTCCGTATCGAATAGCCCCTCAACAATGTCGCGTGTTTAGATTTTCCATGGCGATAATGAGGTAAAGAGCAAGAGTGCACTCGGCTCGACAGAAATAAAGCAACAAGCCTCGGGAAAATAATTCGTCATACCTCCTTAGTCACACGCGTCGCATTTTTCTCTAAGTTTCTCATTGATTCACACGGGAATTTCGTTGTTCCATATGCAGATTTCGTTCACGTCTGCAGGGAAATGATTGACGATTTGTTGTTCCGTTGGTGACTGGGGTAAACAGGTCAATTCCTGGACGATTTCAACTTGCGCTGAATGTTCCATAAATAAAATGAAAATTGGAATGATTATTTTAGCGATAGCGATTTTTTGCGATAGCATTAAGCGCGTGGAATCACGGGATCAATTATTTTTGGAATTGATTTAATGCACGTTTAATGAATTTAATAAGTAAAAGAAATTTTCATTTATTCAATTTATTTACTTTTAATCAATAAATAAAATGCGGCCCAGTCGTCCAGAAATTAGGGGTTTCGGCTGCATTCAACTGATTCTTAATTTAATTGTTCTTTGTTTTGGTATTTTCACTTCAAATAATTTTTTATGGAAATTTGTATAAATTGAGGAATTCTCGTCTTTATGCTGCTTAAAATTCCGGAATTTTACGGAATTTGCAGTGAAACCTGAAATTTCATTATTGTTTTCCTTTAAATTACAATCAGTATCACTGTCCTGAAAATTAGTAGTCAACTGTCCATGAAATTTGGTTTTTTTCAACAGAGCATTATTATTCTTTAATTCTAATTAGTCTTGGTTTTGTTATTTTCACTTCAAATAATTTTTTTATGGAAATTTGAATAAATTGAGGAATTCTCGTCTTTATGCTGCTTAAAATCCGTGAAACCTGAAATTTCATTATTGTTTTCCTCTAAATTACAATCAGTATCTCTGTCCTGAAAATTAGTAGTCAACTGTCCATGAAATTTGTGATTTTTTTCAACAGTGCATTATTATTCTTTAATTCTAATTAGTCTTGGTTTTGTTATTTTCACTTCAAATAATTTTTTTATGGAAATTTGAATAAATTGAGGAATTTTTTTCTTTATGCTACTTAAAATTCTGGAATTTTGCTGAATTTTTAGCAAAACCTGAAATTTCATTATTGTTTTCCTCTAAATTACAATCAGTATCTCTGTCCTGAAAATTAGTAGTCAACTGTCCATGAAATTTGTTTTTTTTCAACAGTGCATTATTATTCTTTAATTCTAATTATTCTTGGTGTTGTTATTTTCACTTCAAATAATTTTTTTATGGAAATTTGAATAAATTGGGGAATTCTCGTCTTTATGCTGCTTAAAATTCCGGAATTTTACGGAATTTGCAGTGAAACCTGAAATTTCATTATTGTTTTCCTTTAAATTGCAATCAGTATCACTGTCCTGAAAATTAGTGGTCAACTGTCCATGAAATTTGGTTTTTTTTCAACAGAGCATTATTATTCTTTAATTCTAATTAGTCTTGGTTTTGTTATTTTCACTTCAAATAATTTTTTTATGGAAATTTGAATAAATTGAGGAATTTTTTTCTTCATGCTACTTAAAATTCTGGAATTTTGCTGAATTTTTAGCAAAATCTGAAATTTCATTATTGTTTTCCTCTAAATTACAATCAGTATCATCGTCCTGAAAATTAATAGTCAACTGTCCATGAAATTTGTTTTTTTTTTCAACAGAGCATTATTATTCTTTAATTCTAATTAGTCTTGGTTTTGTTATTTTCACTTCAAATAATTTTTTTATGGAAATTTGAATAAATTGAGGAATTTTTTTCTTTATGCTACTTAAAATTCTGGAATTTTGCTGAATTTTTAGTGAAACCTGAAATTTCATTATTGTTTTCCTCTAAATTACAATCAGTATCTCTGTCCTGAAAATTAGTAGTCAACTGTCCATGAAATTTGTGATTTTTTTCAACAGTGCATTATTATTCTTTAATTCTAATTAGTCTTGGTTTTGTTATTTTCACTTCAAATAATTTTTTTATGGAAATTTGAATAAATTGAGGAATTTTTTTCTTTATGCTACTTAAAATTCTGGAATTTTGCTGAATTTTTAGCAAAACCTGAAATTTCATTATTGTTTTCCTCTAAATTACAATCAGTATCACTGTCCTGAAAATTAATAGTCAACTGTCCATGAAATTTGTTTTTTTCAACAGTGCATTATTATTCTTTAATTTTAATTAGTCTTGGTTTTGTTATTTTCACTTCAAATAATTTTTTTTTGGAAATTTGTATAAATTGAGGAATTCTCGTCTTTATGCTGCTTAAAATTCTGGAATTTTACGGAATTTTCAGTGAAACCTGAAATTTCATTATTGTTTTCCTCTAAATTACAATCAGTATCACTGTCCTGAAAATTAATAGTCAACTGTCCATGAAATTTGTTTTTTTCAACAGTGCATTATTATTCTTTAATTTTAATTAGTCTTGGTTTTGTTATTTTCACTTCAAATAATTTTTTTTTGGAAATTTGTATAAATTGAGGAATTCTCGTCTTTATGCTGCTTAAAATTCTGGAATTTTACGGAATTTTCAGTGAAACCTGAAATTTCATTATTGTTTTTCTCTAAATTACAATCAGTATCACTGTCCTGAAAATTAATAGTCAACTGTCCATGAAATTTGTTTTTTTCAACAGTGCATTATTATTCTTTAATTTTAATTAGTCTTGGTTTTGTTATTTTCACTTCAAATAATTTTTTTTTGGAAATTAAACCATCTTTGAAGGTATGGAAGCCATAAAAATTTTTCGACTGGAGATTATATTAAGTTAAAAAAAATAGAACTTTTCGATTTTTGTGGTGAACACATGTGACTTGACGCCAAGGACTGTTTTATTTGATTCAAGTAAATGTATCTCAAGAAGAAATAATTGATATTCACCGGAAGATCTTGTTTATTTGAAATTGGTTCAAGTATATAATGCTTGTTCCTAGGAAGAAACATCTCATTAAAAATAGTTTTTTCTATCAGTGTAGCAAGTCTTCGGTCCGTTTGAATTATTCGGAGTCTAGATAAGTCCTTTTACTTCCTTGTTGTAGTGATAAAATAAGTGGGTCGGGTTTTTTGAGGACTCAGAGGCTCCTGGGAGGCGACATATTCTTGTTTCACTTGATGCTTAAGTGAATTCTATTTTGAGCTAATGCTGATGTCGCAATTTCATTGCATCAGAAGTCGCTATCCATGAACCTTCTCACCCTTTTGATAAGGCGGCTGTTAACGCCGCGAGATGCATTTCCATGATTTCCTTATTTCAATGCAGAAAGAATTCAAGTAACTCGTGTGGGGATAATTTAATTGGAAACGTCGGACTTTCTCTGAGACATTCTGGTGAAGATATTTGATGGAAAATGTCTATTTGCGTTGATTTTTATGGGGGAATTTTTGAGGATTCAATTTACTTTTTTTGCACGAAAAATCTACTAGAATTTTTGATCCAATTGGCTGAATTTTTCATATGGAATTCTAGCAGAACTCCAGTTAAAATTCATTGGAATTCCTCAGAGAAGGCACTACATTTTTCTATTAAATTTTCTCCTGCAACTTCAATAGAAGTTCAATAGAAATCTAATAGAATTTTCGAGGGAATTCGCTGGAGCTTTCAATTGAATTTTTTGTTCTGTGAATAAGCTACATAAAACCGTCAATTGGGGGAATTGCAATAGAACTCCAGTTAAAATTCATTGGAATTCCGCAGAGAAAGCTCTACGTTTTTCTATTAAATATTTTCCTACAACTTCAATAGAAATCCAATAGAATTTCCAAGGAAATTCGCTAGCCTTTTGAATTGAATTTTTTATTCTATGAATAAGCTACATAAAACCGTCAATTGAAGGACTTCAAACAGAACTCCAGTTAAAATTCATTGGAATTCCTCAGAGAAAGCCCTACGTTTTTCCATTAAATATTTTCTTGCAACTTCAATAGAAATCCAATAGAATTTCCGAGGAAATTCGCTAGACTTTTCAATTGAATTTTTTATTCTGTGAATAAGCTACATAAAACCGTCAATTGGAGGACTTCAAATAGAACTCCATTTAAAATTCATTGGAATTCCTCAGAGAAAGCCCTACATTTTTCTATTAAATATTTTCCTACAACTTCAATAGAAATCCAATAGAATTTCCGAGGAAATTCGCTAGACTTTTCAATTGAATTTTTTATTCTGTGAATAAGCTACATAAAACCGTCAATTGGAGGACTTCAAATAGAACTCCATTTAAAATTCATTGGAATTCCTCAGAGAAAGCCCTACATTTTTCTATTAAATATTTTCCTACAACTTCAATAGAAATCCAATAGAATTTCCGAGGAAATTCGCTAGACTTTTCAATTGAATTTTTTATTCTGTGAATAAGCTACATAAAACCGTCAATTGGAGGACTTCAAATAGAACTCCATTTAAAATTCATTGGAATTCCTCAGAGAAAGCCCTACATTTTTCTATTAAATATTTTCCTACAACTTCAATAGAAATCCAATAGAATTTCCGAGGAAATTCGCTAGACTTTTCAATTGAATTTTTTATTCTGTGAATAAGCTACATAAAACCGTCAATTGGAGGACTTCAAATAGAACTCCATTTAAAATTCATTGGAATTCCTCAGAGAAAGCCCTTCATTTTTCCATTAAATATTTTCTTACAGCTTCAATAGAAATCCAATAGAATTTCCGAGGAAATTCGCTAGACTTTTCAATTGAATTTTTTGTTCCGTGAATAAGCTACATAAAACCGTCAATTGAAGGACTTCAAACAGAACTCCATTTAAAATTCATTGGAATTCCTCAGAGAAAGCCCTACATTTTTCTATTAAATATTTTCCTACAATTTCAATAGAAATCCAATAGAATTTCCGAGGAAATTCGCTAGCCTTTTGAATTGAATTTTTTATTCTGTGAATAAGCTACATAAAACCGTCAATTGGAGGGCTTCAAATAGAACTCCAGTGAAAATTAATTGGAATTCCTCAGAGAGAATCTAAATAAAAAGAAGCTTTTTAACAATTGATTGTAGGAGAGGTTTGACACCTCCGCACAGAGTCAAATCAATCTCGATGGCGACATTTACCCAAGAGGAGATTGAGTTCATAAAGGAGAGGGGAAACGAGCACTGCAGAAGGATATGGCTGGGTCTGGTGAACGCAAATAATCAGCCGACCCTCGACACTAAGGACGAGCAAAAAATGAAGGACCTCATGACAGCCAAGTACGAGCTGAAGCGATACTACTTGGACCCATCAATGGCCAGTGATAATTCCCCCCAAGCGGTCGACAAAAATCGACAGTTTGTCGAGAAACTCTCGTTAATGCCCAAAAGTCTAGCCGAGAAGTCCCCGAAAAATCGTTCTCTCGACGCTAATTCGTCGCAGAATGCAAATACACTGCAGAATTCAAATCAGAGGAAGGAGTTGAATGGCGGACGATCTAATCAAAGTATACCGAGAGTACCTAATGTTGGCACACTGCCAGTGTTATGTACGCCGAATGGCAAGAAGAAAAATGCCGAGCCTGTCGATGCTTTTACCGCGAATTTCGCTGACTTCAGCCGAGCCCAGGACTCATTTGCCTCCACGCCGCGCTTCCCTCCGCCCATCGAACAGCCGTCCTTCGCTAATTTTGATAATAATCCGGCGTTTGATTCAACACAGAGTGAGTTGCACATTCGTAATTTCCAGGAAACTATTGAATCGGTGATTAATGGTAATTATCGAGACAAATTGTGATCGTTGAGGAAAAATTGAGAATCGAAGGAGAGTTTTTATTTCCGTGGATGTGATGGTGGGAATTTCTTCCGTGAAACGTGATTATTATTCGTAAAATTATTATTATTTACTAAATTATTAAATTATTATTCTCTATTCAGTACTCGATGATGAGGAATGACTTCTTAAATGGAATAATAATTATGATATGATAGAAGACCTGCAGTTTAAGAACTATTTTCATCTTGCGATTTTTTTAGTTGAAACTAGACTCGTTTTTTTCTATTTCCGTGGATATGATGATGATTATTATTGATAAATTATTATTCTTTAAATTAAATTATTATTTGAATTAAATTATTGAATTATTATTCTCTATTCAGTACTCAACGATGACGAATGACTTCTTAAATAGAATAATGATGATATCATAGCAGACCTGCAATTTACGAACTAAATATTTTTTAATCAATTTCGCATTGTGAAAGATATTTTCATCTTGCGATTTTTTTAGCTTAAACCAGACTCGTTTCAACTTAATTATCGAGAAAAATTGAAAATTGAAGTTTTTCTTTTACTTCCATGGATATGATGGCGCTAATTTCTTCCGTGAAACATGATTATTATTTATAAATTATTATTCTCTCAATTAAACTATTATTTGAATTAAATAATTGAATTATTATTCTCTATTCAATACTCAACGATGACGAATGTCTTCTTAAATAGAATAATAATGATGGTATGCTAACAGACTTGTGACTTGGGAACACAATATTTTTTTATTAATTTTATTTTGAGAGAGATATTTTCATCGCGGGAATTATTAATTTGCGATTTTTTTAGTTCAAACCAAACTCGTTTCACCTTAATGATCCAGAAAAACTGTAATCGTCGAGGAAAAATTGATAACCAAAGGAGAATTTTGTTTCTTTTCCATGGATATGACGGTGCGAATTGCTTCCGAAAAACATGATGATACGTCGTGGTGTGATTATGAAGAAATCCCACTGCTGATGCTTTTTGAAATTTTATGTCTGAGATCGTAAAATTTGATGAGCTCAAGTAGAAGTCAATTCAGGAATGAGAAGGGCATGCACTGAGAAATATAAACGAATTCTAAAGCCATTCTATGGGAAATCGTCGAGAGTAATACATTCTGTCCTGAGAGGAAGAATTTTTGTCGCAAAAGTAAATTTAGTTGTTTCAAAATTATTATTCTCTATTCAATACTCAACACTTAAATAGAATAATAATGATGAGGAACTTCTTAAACAGAATAATAATGATGATATAGCAGACCTGCAATTTAAGAACAAAATATTTTTTAATTAATTTCGCTTTGTAATTATATTTTCATCTTGGGAACTATCAATTTGTAATTTTTCTAGTTCAAACCAGATTCGTTTCAACCTAATTATTGAGAAAAATTGAGAAAAATTGAGAATTGAAGAAGTTTTTTTTTTATTTCCATGGATATGATGGTGCGAAAAACTCACTGCATGATTATGAAGAAATCCAACAGCTGATGTTTTTTGAAATTTATTTCCGAGATCGTAACATTTGATGAGCTCAAGTAGAAGTCAATTTAGGAATGAGAAGTGCATGCACTGAGAAAAATAAACATGTTCTAAAACAATTCTACGAAAGAACAGTAATAAATGCTGTTCTGAGATGAAGAATTTTTGTCGTAAAAGTAGATTTAGTTGTTTCAAAAATTGTTAATCTCCCAAAAATGTTCGTTTTATGCGAAACAAGGGAGAGTAGTTTTTCGTTTCGACTATTCAATACTCAAAAATGAGGAATGACCAGGGATGACCATCAATCTTCCCATTCCTCAATATTAAAAGAATCTTCTACTTACATTGATCAAAGTTTAAATATACTAATCGAACTTTAAAAGTACTAAAATAATTAATGACGTAAATTTTCGATTGATGGTGAATTAAATATTTAATAATATGGATGACTTCCTAAATAGAATAATAATGATGACATGATAGCAGACCTATAACTAGGGAACAAAATATTTTTTTTTTACTAATTTCAATTTGTGAGAGATATTTTCATCTGGGAAATTATAAATCTTCAATTTGTTTACTTCAAACAAGATTTCATTGAAAATAATATTCTCGTTTCTCTCAATGCTCGTCAAAACAATTCTTCTTCCGCTCAAGAAAACAGTCTAATTATCCAAAAATAGTAACCCATCACGATTTTATTGTTTTAAAATTATCTTCAATTAATTTTTTTGAAAACATGAATTCAATCACGTGAACGAGTGGTGATTTTACCCGATTAATGACGACAAACCTCTGGTCATGGGACTTTAATGCCTCAAATTTTCAAATTCTGATGATTATAAGAACATTTTAATGGCGAAAAATAGTTCCTGAGGTGCGTAATTTCCAGTGATGATGTCATTGGAAAGTTTGTCCCCCCCAGCTCCCTCTCCCCATCCAATAATTTTCATTTCGCTGTCTGCAGATACTGACTTATCATCAGCACCGTTCACTCAAACCGGGAAATCCTACATGTCCAATTTCAATGGGATCAACGCCCCACCATCGGAGGACCGATACGCAGCCTTGAAGGACTTGGACTCGATGATGAAAAAGACGCAGTTGAAAGAGGACACACCCACTGTGACATCTCCGCCGTGGATAACGAATAACTCGAATAGTAAATATTTCTCAATGACTTTTAATTACCGTCTGTCCATTGTGGGGGCGAGGATGCGTCGAATTACAAACAGGGGCTTTTTTCATCTTTCTACGTAACACGTGTAATTTTATTATCTTCAGCAGGTCTCTGGGGCAATGAACAGAGCCACGTTATTTCAAACCCATTCACAGGGACCGACTCGTGGCGACCATCGCTACATGTCATGAACAATAATAATATGCAATCTGTGGACAATACGGTTTGCAGTCCTGCGAATCCATTTAGACAAATGCAATTCCCGGTTAACAATGGTGAGCGTTTTGTCATTATAATTAATGTTTTTTTAGAATTGATAGTGTTTCAATATTTTTACTGAAATGTTGAGAAATTTCGGAATTGAAAATTCACGTTTTTATGAAAAAATCAATGGAATCTGTGAATTTCTGATTAATTATTGAAAGTAAATAGAAATTAAGGAAATTCAGGCAGATATATTCTTGAGTTTTCCATTGATTGGTTTGTAGTCCTGCGAATTCATTTAGATAAATGCAATTCCCGGTTAACAATGGTGAGCGTTTTGTCATTATAATTAATGTTTTTTTAGAATTGATAGTGTTTCAATATTTTTACTGAAATGTTGAGAAATTTCGGAATTGAAAATTCACGTTTTTATGAAAAAATCAATGGAATCTGTGAATTTCTGATTAATTATTGAAAGTAAATAGAAATTAAGGAAATTCAGGCAGATATATTCTTGAGTTTTCCATTGACTGGTTTGTAGTCCAGCGAATGCATTTAGATAAATGCAATTCCTGGTTAACAATGGTGAGCGTTTTGTCATTATAATTAATGTTTTTTAGAATTGGTAGTGTTTCAATATTTTTACTGAAATGTTGAGAAATTTTGGAATTGAAAATTCACGTTTTTATGAAAAAATCAATGGAATCTGTGAATTTCTTTTTAATTGTTGAAAGTAAATAGAAATTAAGGAAATTCAGGCAGATATATTCTTGAGTTTTCCATTGATTGGTTTGTACTCCTGCGAATTCATTTAGATAAATGTCATTTCCGATTTACAATGGTGAGCATTTTTCAATTGAAATGTTTTTTTTCACAAGAATTGTTAGTGGTAAAATATTTTTACTGAAATTTCGAGGAATTTCGTAATTGAAAATTCATAATTTAATGAAAAAAAACAAAGGAATCTGCAAAGTTCAATGTTTAATTATTAAAAAATTATAGAAAATTAATGAAAAACAGGAAAATTCAGGTCGATATGTTTTTCAGCTTTCTAATGATTGATTTATAAATTTGCAAATGCATTTTGCAGTTAAAAATAATTTGATTTTCACGAAAAATTCACGATTAAACGGAAAAATCAACGAAAACGTTAGATTTCAGTTGAATTATTGCATGAAAATTCATAAACAAATCATCAAAATCAAGTAAATATACTACCAAAATTTCAATTAATTGAAAATGAAGAGTGATTTGGTACTAAATATTCATGTTTTCATCGAAAATTCAAATAAATTTGTAAATTCTCGTCCTCCTGTTGCTCAAAAGTCTGAAATTCCAATCTTTTTCCAGTAGTGTAGAATATTTTCTCATTTGTTTCTAAATCTCCACTTCCCGATTTTATTAATTACTCCATTATCCCGATAACGAATAATTTCGAGGAAACTTTTCCAGGAAACAATTGCTCAATTCAAAAAACTTCTCATGTCACTGTAAAATTGTTCAAAACTTTTCCTCTTCAGAATAAAAAATCAATTATAAATATTCATTCATTGGCATATTTATTGAAATCAATGGAATTGTTGCTATAAAATTATCAAATTATTATCATAAAAATTCTTCCAGAATCTCAATGGATATCCTTTGGATCTCAAAATACCACGGAGGTACATCCATCTAGTCAAATGATGACTCCACTCCCCGGAAAAGTCTGGCATCCGACAGTTACCGCTTATCAGGCAAACCCTTTCATGGTGATAATTTACATTTACACTTCTCTTCATTCATGACGAAGCTCTACACACTCGTAACGAATATAAATATACTGGAATTTTGTTTGTAGGTGGGCACTGGCGTGGGAAATCCGGCAAGGAGTTCGAACAATCCATTTTTATGATTAGAAGCGAGGAAGAATGTTCGAGTTGTGTGAGCTAATGAACAAAATTAATGCAATGCTGACGAAAAATAATCAATTGAAATTTTTAAATCGTATATTCGTAGACTAGGAGATGAGATTTTTTCAAAAAATAGTTTCTTGACATGACTTTATTGGCTGAGAACGCCGTTAACGTTTTTCTCTAAAAAAGCCTCTCTTTTATCTTTTCGGCCTTAATTTTTAATTTTAATTCACGTAAGGAACGATATGAAAAGAACCTAAAGTGAACTTATTTATGAAACTGACACACGTTGAATAAAGAAATTAATATTTGTTACTAAATCATGTGTTTTTTTTTAATTCTCAGAAAACAGAAATAAAAATAAAAATACGTAAAAGTGTCAAATATGATTGATGAGAGCTAATGATCAAAATTAATGCAATGCTGACGAAAAAATTTCAATTGAAATTTTTAAATCGTATATTGGTAGAGTAGGAGATGAGATTCATCAAAAAATAGTTTCTTGACATGACTTTATTGGCTGAGAACGCCGTTAACGTTTTTCTCTAAAAAAGCCTCTCTTTTATTTCTTCGGCCTTAATTTTTAATTTTAATTCGCGTAAGAAACGATATGAAAAGAACCTAAAGTGAACTTATTTATGAAACTGACACACGTTGAATAAAGAAATTAATATTTGTTACTAAATCATGTGTTTTCTTTTAATTCTCAGAAAACAGAAATAGAAATAAAAATAGGTAAAAGTGTCAAATATGATTGATGGGAGCTAATGATCAAAATTAATGCAATGCTGACAAAAAAATTTCAATTGAAATTTTTAAATCGTGTATTGGTAGAGTAGGAGATGAGATTCATCAAAAAATAGTTTCTTGACATGACTTTATTGGCTGAGAACGGCATTAACGTTTTTCTCTAAAAAAGCCTCTCTTTTATTTCTTCGGCCTTAATTTGTAATTTTAATTCGCATAAGAAACGATATGAAAAGAACCTAAAGTGAACTTATTTATGAAACTGACACACGTTGAATAAAGAAATTAATATTTGTTACTAAATCATGTGTTTTTTTTTAATTCTCAGAAAACAGAAATAAAAATAAAAATACGTAAAAGTGTCAAATATGATTGATGAGAGCTAATGATCAAAATTAATGCAATGCTGACGAAAAAATTTCAATTGAAATTTTTAAATCGTATATTGGTAGAGTAGGAGATGAGATTCATCAAAAAATAGTTTCTTGACATGACTTTATTGGCTGAGAACATTAACGTTTTTCTCTAAAAAAGTCTCTCTTTTATTTCTTCGGCCTCAATTTTTAATTTTAATTCGCGTAAGAAACGATATGAAAAGAACCTAAAGTGAACTTATTTATGAAACTATTATAAACGTTGAATAAAGAAATTAATATTTGTTATTAAATCATGAGTTTTCTTTCAACTCCCAGGAAAACAAGAATTTTTAATGTATAAAATGACCAAAATGAATGCAATACCGACAAAAAAAATCAATTGAAATAAAAAAATCGTACATTCGTCCCTTACAAACCTATTATACACCGCGAATAAAGAAATGAATAATTGCAACTAAATCACGAATTTTTTATTCTCAAAAAAAAACAAAAAATAGAAATAAAAAATACAAAAAAAATCCCGAAAAATCGCTCACACTTAAATATGATTTATTCACTTAAAAAATTGTATCTAATAAATACAAAATCACAAATGGACACTTAGTCTTTGTTGTTCATTTTTATAATCATCTTTACTATTCGAAAACTCAATTGTCGATGGATCCCACTTGATCCGCATATAAATACACGGTTTTTCTGTATTAATTGATTAATTGATACACTTGCAGGCTAGATTACGTGTAATTGTTGTTCTGTTTTTTCTTCAATATATTATAGTAATAACATGTTCAGTCGTGTCACTGTAGTACAATTACATTGATATAAAAAAGAGTGATAGAAGAAGCCATCGTGCCAACTATCATGGGAAAGGGCTATCAGCTGCCACAGCTCCACCGTTTCGTCCTTAGTTCATTTTCATCATATATAAAACTTTTTTTTAGCTTTTCTGTTATTAATTTTATCTAAAAAATTGGTTGGAAGCTCCAACGGATCATTGCGGTATTACTTAGTGTAATAAATTAATTAGCAGTTAAATTGACAAAATTAATCAAAAACACTAATATATGAGGTTTCGTTTTCCTTTTACTCCAATTGTGTTAATTGTTATTAGCGTTTTTCACTCTGAGAATTATTGCACTGATGTAAATACCGAATAGATCATTAAACTCGAAAATATTTGAGATAAAAATTGATTTTTCAAACAGAATATCTCATGCACTTGAGGTGGGGCTGAGATTCATCGATAATTAAAATATATTATCATTCATTTGGTTGTAGGAAAAATTAATCATTTTCCTGGCAACAATTCACAAATTGAAAAACGTTGTAAGTATAAATGTACGAGATTGATATTGAATAATTACTAGGCTGCCCGGTATTTTATTCTCTCAATCATCCGAGATGATTCATCCGTCCGAGTCATCTTAGCAACCATTGCTATTGGAATTACCTTTCGGCAGGGGACGCACCAAGTACAATTTTTCCCCCTGCTTGTTGGTATAAATAGGTGCTCGTTGATAGTGATCGACGAGTTGATCGAGTGTGTGGAATTTTCTTTGACCGATACAGTACAGAGCACCTTCCACGTGCACCCTGAAGTGTTTATTGCGACCAGGTGCTTTTAGAGAGACTGAGTAATCGCCCATCTGAAAATTTAAGGCAAAAATATAGGGTTATTCGGGAAATTAAGGAGGTGTTCGGTAGAAAATAACTGCAAAATAGTTTTATGATGATTCATCAATATGACTTTTCCCAGTGTTAGAAATTGTTTTTTAATTTAAGTAATAGCTGCATTTGAATTGTGAATATTACGAATTTTAATGAAAATTGATGGCATCATCATTACCTAATAATAAGATAATGAGGAAGATTTTTTTCTGTTTTATTAATCGAAAAAGAAATCACAATTTGATTATCTTCTCATTGAATTTCCTTGCAAAAATGTGACATTAATTTTATGATGTTTTATCGATATGATCGGATAAATATTTTTTTTATGAAAAAATTTCCCAGTCAAAATTCCCCCGAAAAATTTCCCTGAATAATTTCCCAATGATGATTTATTTGTGATGGATGCAATTTAGGAATGACAAATTAATTCGAATTATGTGAGGAAATTGTTTTCTACCCTTGACTGTTTATTTTTTGTGGTAATGTAATTTATTTATGATTGAAAAAGTTGTATTGACTGCAGATTCTTTTCTGTGTGTCAGACAATTTTTTGAAGAATGATTGTCTGCCAATACTATTTCATTAACAAATTGGGCTTCGGTGAAATGAGGATGATTTTTGGATTTTATGTGATTGAGTTGTGGTTCATCGATTCTGAAGGAAAATTGAATTAAAAAATTTGATTTTTGTCATGTGTTTTTACCAATTGAGACATAATAAATTGAGTTGATATTGTTAATGTGTGTACGTGTAATCGTCATTGGAATCCATAAGGGGAATTAATTCCGGGAATTTATTTCCGAGGTAATTTTTTGCGGAGAATTTTCTCGGGGGAAAAAAATCTTGGAACCCCCAGGCCCTAGTCTTAAAGCTCACTAAAAACTAACCAAATGCAAAAAATCAAAACTCACATTAGTTTCACTGTCTCTAATAAGAAAATCCCCATCATGCCCATGCTGATTGAGTAGATTATCGCACTGTGACCTCGTAATGCTGCCATAATACCAGGGTTTCCCCACAAGATGCGGCCTGTCCCCAGGATCAGGCCTCCGCTCCAACGAGTCCCCAGTGCTAATTTCACTACTGGTCATACCTCGATCGCGATAAGGCTGCGTTAAATATTCACTCAACTCTTGTAAATAATTTCTAGGCACAAGACCAATCTGTCCCTGTCCATTCCTAGCTTTGTACCACTCTGGATCAGCGGGTGGACGATCGAGTATCTCCAGCCTGTCTCCCTTCTCAAACGACAGCTCCTGATCGTTATTAGACGAGAACGAGTAGAGTGCAACGACAATGTCAAGCACATTCTCAGCCATTGCATAAGTGTGAAGTGTATCATCAGCATCGCCCTCCTCTTGCGTGTAATTCGAGGGAAACCAGCCAGCCTGAGTTCCACTCTGTCCCCTCCACCAGCCATCGTTGCTCTTCTCGAGAATGAGAATACGTGTGCCCTTCACCAACGACAACTCGTCAGCCTGTTGTGCCTGATAATTGTACTTGACGACAGCTGTACCAATGGCCTCACTGGGATCAGCTGGCAATCTTCGTGCCATTATTGGTGATTCAACAGCCCGTGACGGCGAATTACCGGACGGCAGGGTCTTAGAACCCGAACCCTTCTTGACCTTCTTCTTTATACTGTCGAATAGGGACGGCTTTTCCTTCTTAACGTAGTTACTCGGCACGTAGCCCGCCTGGCCACGTGCACTCTGCACTCTCCACCAGTGCTTTGAGTCATCGAGCAGCAGGTAACGCTCGTTCTTACGCAAGTCGAGCTCCTGGGCACCCTGGGCATTGTAGTCGTACTTGGCGACAACGTAGCATACGTCGTCTTGGTTCGTCTTGCCTGCATAAATTTTTTTTTTATTAATTCATTGCTCGTGTGGTGGAAATCGTTGGTAAGTCAGTGGATGTCGTTGAACGGTTTAAGGGGGGTTTTATCGGTGGTTTTTGACGAATATCGGGGAAGGTAAGGGAGATGCCAAAATTTTTGTTGGGAACTTTTTTGGAGATTTTAATTCGCTCTACAAAAAAGGTCTTCACGAAAATTTCGGTATCTTGTTCAGATTCGGAGATTTTCAGCGAAAACGACGATGAGAGCTTAAATCGCTTTGTTCGCTACTGAATTCTTAGGGTAAATCCATAAATCCTTGGGTTATTTATGGAGTTTTTAGACGATGAAGGGATTTTTTATTTTGTAGAGAAGTTTTCATAGTGGTTGCAAGGAATGTTGGAGAAAAAAATGTTTTTTGGTAAATTTTATCGAAATTTATCAAATATTTTAATCGGGAATTATTTAGTGCAAATTAATTCGTGGTTGGTTCATGTTTCATGTTGAAACAGAGAAAATGATAAATTTAGTAGTGAAGGGGAACGTCAGGATGAGGAAATTTTTTATGACGAAGTTATTTCGTCATTAAAAATTTAAATTTTTGAAGAAACAACAATGGAATAAATTCCTGTTCAATTATTGCATGAATTCAGGCGAAGCAACTCTTTAATTAACAATTCATTGCAAATTCAGCGTAATTTGGTACTGGAGAATTTATTTTTAATATTAATGCATTGTTCACATCTTGGAAATAGTTGTAGAACAATTTTTATTGTAAATCCATAAATCCTTGGGGTATTTATAAAATTTTTAGGAAATGAAGGAATTTTTTTATTTACACAAAATGTTTAATAGTGGTTTCAAGGGATGCTGGAGAAAAAGAAAACAATATTCATGCAATTTTGGTTTTGCAATTTTTCTACAATTATTTTAGCTTCATCAGGCTCATGACTCAGTAAATATGTCTCCAACATTCGTTGAAATCATTGTGGAATTTATCAAATGTGGGGTGAGTCAGAATATTGATTAAAAAATATTTCGTGCAATTTACTCATGATTGATTCATGTTTCATAGGTTTTTGTCATGGAAAATAATCAATTTATTAGTGAAGTTGGCGAACGTAAGAATGAAATTATCTCAATTATGATACAATGTTGAAAATTTTTGAGAATTTCAAGAAATTTCGTCATTTAAAAGTTGAAATTTTAAGGAAAAATCAGTGGAAATTGTAAATTTAGGGCGATTTGTTGGAATAGAAGAGTTTTTATTCACAGAAAATATTTCGTGCATTTACTAAAGATTGATTCATGTTTCATGGGTTTTTGTCAGGGAAAATAATCAATTTATCAGTGAAATTGGCGAACGTAAGGATCAAATTATCTCGATTATGATACACTATTGAAATTTTTGGATTGAAACTTCTCGGAAATTTTCATCACCCCATAGTTTCGCCGAAACTAAGGAATTTCGTAACTGCAAATTCGAAATTTTATTAAATAAATGGAAACTGTAAATTCTAGTTCAATTACCCCCCGAAAATTGATAGAAATCCGGAAAATTCCGGTCAATGTTCTACAGAATTTTTAATTTCTCTAAAAAAGGAAAACTAAAATAAAAATTATAAATAATAAAAAATTTTCAACTAAATAAATAAAAAAGTTCAAGTAATTTGGGGAATTCTCGTCTTCCTGGGGTGGAATTTCATTGAATTTTCAGTTGCAATCCAAAATTTCCTAAATTTTCTAACAGTTAGAGTTGAACTAAATAATCAACAACATTAAATTTCACTTGATACGTTCTACCACTTTACAACACAGAGAGAAAAAAAAATGTTCTCAGACAAATTTTATGTGAGCCAAAAAACTCGTCAAAGGGGATGAGTTTAGTTGTCCATTTTATAAAAATTATTCCACTTTTAATCTCACTAAACTCTCCAAACATTCCCCACGTGTTTTTCATTCTTGACAATAAAAAAAATATGATTTTTTCGGTTCACAAAAATGTTTTTGTCTTCCCTCAGTGCGAGAATTGTGACAAGAAAAGCAAAAAAAAGCTGTAATACAGAGAAAAATAAAATAAAAAAACGTACCATGCTTCATGGCTGCCATGTGCAAATATTAAGATATTTATGTCCGAGACTGGGCCGAGAGAGCGACAAAACAGCTACTCACGTACTACTCGTATGAATCTCAAATCTGCTTGTGTCGTCGGCAGTGCAGCAGGCATTCTCCCTATTTTATTTCGATTCTTTTATTTTACTGAACAATCACTTATTCTTATTCGTAGAAATACTTTGTCGACTGTTCACAGAGCTTTTCTATTCTCTATTCATTTACTGTTGCACTATCTTACTCTGGGCTCCACTGTTTGCACACAAGTGCATTACCGACACTTTGGGACAAACAAATGTCAAGTTTAAAGATCATGAACAAATAATTCTCAGTGTTGAATACTTCAGCCATTAAATATGGGTTTTAGTGGGCATTAACACAGAGTTCACGAGCCTCATCTCAAACATTAGGTACATCCAACAATAAACAAACAGCTCTGTGATTATTAGCCAAGAATTAGGACAAAAAATATCTACAGCTCATTTTTTATCGTGAAAAACGTGTGACTTGCCTCTGCTGCCTAAGCACATTTACCTACAACTATAATTAAAGTCTCTGATTAATCATGCTGATCATGCCTTTAAATTAATTAATTTCGGAGAGTTAAGGATATCCAAGTATCTTTGACAGTCTCAATCATCAAATTTGGCAATTAAATTGGGTGAGAATAATTTGACACTTTAGACGTTTTTAAAATTATTCATAACTCAGGAACAAATTGATCAATTGAGCTCAGTTTAGGCTCGTCACAAAGGGAAAAAGTTGTTCTTTGTAATGAAAAAAAAAATATTAAATTTTATGAACATTTCAACCCCTTATTGACATTAAAAAAATGTCAAAAGTCTCCGTTTTACCAACCTCCCCTATTCAGCGTCATTCAAATTACATTTTGCACAGAATTCTTCTTTTTTTAAACATTCGTTGTTCTTAAATAAATCATTAAAATTGTTAAATCTTTCAGAAACAATTTTTTCAGGTATGAAATCGATTTCTGTCAAAATTCTGAATATGAATAAATTTGTTGCGATTCCAAACAAATGATTTTCATAATGGAAAATTAATAGTTGACAATTTATTCATAGAAACTGCTCGTAATTTTCAAAAATAGCATTTTTGAAATCATTTCATCAATCTTCCTCCAAATTAAACTTTCTAATTTTGTTTCCAGATTTTTGAATGTTTTCTAACCCTTCAACATCACCATTCAAATTCAGCCCTGCAAACTTCGAACAATAAAATAATTCTAAAACATCCGGAAACTCAAACTCAAAAGGGAAACCCCTAATATTCGCCCACAAGCCTAGAAAAAGCGCATCCCGCAAAAAACCCATCCAAAATCCTTGGATATCCTCAAACTAAAAACCTCCAAAAAACTAACAGCGACTGAGAGCGCAGAAATCCACTCGAATCTACAGCAAATCGTCGCTTTCCTCTTCTCTTCCACTCCTCAAAGTACAAAAATCAATTAAAAAACCATCTCGATCATTAATTAATCTGTCGTATCGTAAGAACAAACCCACAACATCGACAAAACTACATCCAGCAAACGTGACGAAAGGCAGTCGTCCAATCGTCACGCCACAAAAAATCCATCCACACAAAATTCGTTATTTACACTATGAACCATTAAAAATAATCTTACCAATTTTTAAGCTCGACATATTCCCGCATATAATTTTCCGAGTAATATTAGGTGGACAAGGCTTGTATTCCCCCACCCCTCGGTACGACAGCAGCAGCCATCAAGCGAGACACTAGAACATGGGGGGATCGACTCGTTTTATATGGGGAGTAGAGCCGACACCGAAGGGGGAAAAAAATAAACTGAACTCCGAAAATATCAGGATAATGTCCCGCCGTAAATCAGCCAATTCATTCACAAACCGATGAACTTTGACTGTCAGAACTGGCGAACCAGTCGTTGAATTCCGGATGATTCCTCGTGCCACTGAACACTAGACCAATTTTTCGTCGATCGTCTTTTTTTACTCCAGTGGCGTGTCGACAGGACTTGAATCCCTCGTGTTAATGAATTTCCTTTCACTCTGGCAGTGTTTTAACTCCGATTATTTTTCGGCAATTCACTGAACACTTGTGGGCGCTTCGGGAGGCGAATGGGGTTTTGTTGAGTTGGGGGACCCCTCCCACGAAGCCGACAGGACCCACCCTTGTTAAAATCCAAGTGATCGGAGAGACCCTCGGAGTGAGAGTGTTACGAACCCAGTTACGGCCTTGTACACCGTACATTCAAGTTGACGACGCTACTGTGGAGTTTGGGGGTTCGACAGCTGCGTTATCCTCAGTGACAACTGCGCAAACTCACAGCTGCAGTGGGACATTAATAGTGAATTAAAAATTCCGTGGGCCTCGGAATTTCTATTGTTTTTGGAGGTATTTTCCGGTTTTCTTGCGCCGCGGTGGGTGGGGGGCTGGAGCCCTTATCAATTATTTTTCGTTCGGTGGTGGGAGAGTCGAAACGGAGATGTCACTGATCACTATTTCTAGGGATTGGGGTGTTGTGCTTGAGGATAAGTTATCGACTGTGAGATGAGCGAGTTTACGCGGCGGGGGAGGGATCGGCGATGTTCTTAAAAACGTCGATCATCGATTATCGAAGAATCGGTAGATTTTCAAAACTTCGATATGTGAATCGATTTTTCTGGACTCAATATCGATTATTAAAAAAATATTTTTTTTTATGACAGAAATAATTTTTTTGTTATTTATTTGAATGTTGTTTTTATTGAAAATATGGATCGATTTAAAAAATACAACCTGGGGAACTCATGTTTCAATTATAAGAACTGCTGAAGAGTCTATTTTTTTATTTTCAAACAGGGCGGGAGGGGCGATGTTTTTAACAATATCGATTATCGAAGAACCGGTGGTTTTTAAAAACATCGATATTGAGAATCGATTTTTCTGGAAAAACATCGATTATTTAAAAAATCTAGTGTTTTTTTCTCATTACACCGAAAAATAATTTTTTTAATAATTTTTTTTAATGTCGTTTTTACTGAATACATGTTATTAAAAAATACTGCCTGAGGAATGAAAAAAAGGTTGCTGATTGATTGAAAAAAATAAATTGAATATTTTTCTTATTTTCAATGAATCAATATTATATTATTTTTTAAAAAATGAAAAATTTTGTAGCTTGATCAAATACATCGATGTTGACAAAAATTATCGAAAATCGATTACCGGGCGCTTCGATTAATCGACAAACATGGCCCATCTCTAGGGGAGGGAAAATTGATATTTTTTTATATAGTTCATAGATGACGATTTTTCTGTAGAATTCATTCCGTTGAAATTACTTTAATAAAAGTTCCCAGACATGAATCTTTAAAATATTTTATTTTTCATTAAAAAAAAAAAATTTTGTTTTTTTTTACTCTATATTTTATTGTGAGAAATAAATTAAAAAACTGCGGAAAAAAATAAAATTTACGGCCATGAATTTCCATAGAAAAATTGAAAAAACTGAACTTTTTCTATTGAATATCTATCAAAAAATCCCACGATAGTCGCACAATCTCCCCGAGAATTGGCGCAAAAAACAACAATCAAATAAAAAAATCAATTGAATTCTCTTCTCACATAAACCACAGATGTCACTGACCCCCACTTCCCCAATTAAAACAACTTGCCCGATAAGTTATCACCAGTATGATCAGCTGTTCAGCTCCTCCGACGTATTTGAGTTTATTTTTACCCCTTTTCCCATCGATCGTTGGACGATAATCCCCAATAAAATCGATTTCACCCCCGATTACTGAATAGACCCCTCAAAATCATGGCGACAATTTCACCAGCAGCAGCGATCCCCCCCAAAAGGCAAGTGAAGCCCCCAAATAACTCCCCAAACTCATAAAAATCGAATCTAAATTGCTGACGATTTAAATGAATTCGTTCTTGTCAGGTACTCAATGTCAAACAGCGCTCGCCAGGGCAGTGTCTACGATCTCGACATAGACATGTTCCTGAAGATCTCCAACTACGAGGACACAGTGCGACAGTTGGACGTCTACTACGGGATCGTAAAACGCCAGTTACTGAACCACCAAAGTTGCATCAACGGACTCTTCCCCGAGATATCAACAAACAAGAGAGTGGGAAGTGTCAAAGACAGCATCTACTGTGCCTCAGCGATCTGGAGTCTCTACCAAGCCTACAGAAGAATCGACGACGACAGAGGAAAGTCCCACGAGCTGGGACAGTCAGCCGTCAAATGCATGAGGGGAATCCTGGAGTGTTGGATCAGACAGTCAGACAGGATCGAGCAATTCAAGATGAACCAGTGCAATCGTTTCTCCCTCCACTGTAAATTCGATCTCAACACTGGTGACGAAATTTTCAAGGACACTGACTACTTTCACCTGCAGATCGATGTCGTCTCTCTGTACTTGATATTTCTGGTGCAGATGATATCGTCTGGGCTTCAGATTATTTACACCCAGGACGAGGTGGCATTCATTCAGAATTTGGTTTACTATGTGGAGAGGGCTTACAGGACTCCGGATTTTGGAATGTGGGAGAGGGGGAGCAGGTAGAATACTTATTACCCCCATATGATCTCTATAATCCTCATTCTGACCCTTGTGACCCTTAATCTGACACGTGACCTTCATTAAAACCTCGTGGCCCTTATTTTGACCCTCAATTTTGGAGTCTTAATTTCGAGTCCCAAATTTTCGTCACCAGAAGTTGATTTGGAGTTTTATAATATACAGAGATTTAGAGAGACCCTTATTTTGACCCTTGTGACCCTTAGTTTCTGACTTCCATGGCCCTTAATCTGACCTTTGTAATCCTTAATCAGACCCATGTAACCCTCGTGATCCTTAATTTGACTCAGAGGACCCTTAATCTAACCCTCATGACCCTGACTTTGACCCTTGTGACCTTTATTATAAACCTCATGACCCATATTTTAACCCTTGTAACCCTTAATTTGTAATCTTAATCTCGAATACCAAATTTTCATCACCAGAAGTCGATTTGGATTTTTATAATATACAAAGATATGAGAGACGCTTCTTTCGACCCTTGTGACCCTTAGTTTCTGGCACCCATGACCCTTAATTTGACCTTTGTAATCCTTAATTCGATCCATTAAACCCTCGTGATGCTTAATCTGACCCACATGACCCTTAATCTAGCCCTTGTAACCCTTATTCTGACCCTCGTGATCCTTAATCTAATCCTCGTTGAGCTTATTCTGACCCCCATGATCCTTATTCTGAATCTCATGACCCTTATTCTAACCCTCATGATCCTTATTTTAAACCTTGCGACCCTTAATATAACCTTTGTAATCCTTAATCCGACCTCTGTGACCCTCACCCTTAATATCACCCTCATGACCCTTATTCTGACCCTCAAAACCCTTATTTTAACCCTTATGGCCCTTGATTTGGAGTCTAAATTTCGAGTGCCAAATTTTCATCACCAGAAGTCTATTTGGTTTTCTATAATATCGAGAGATTAAAGAAAACCAAATTATTTAGATCCTTGATCTGACCCATATGACCCTCACCCTTAATATCACCCTCATGACCCTTATTCTGACCCACAAAACCCTTATTTTAACCCTTATGGCCCTTGATTTGGAGTCTAAATTTCGAGTGCCAAATTTTCATCACCAGAAGTCTATTTGGTTTTCTATAATATCGAGAGATTAAAGAAAACCAAATTATTTAGATCCTTGATCTGACCCATATGACCCTCACCCTTAATATCACCCTCATGACCCTTATTCTGACCCTCAAAACCCTTATTTTAACCCTTATGGCCCTTGATTTGGAGTCTAAATTTCGAGTACCAAATTTTCATCACCAGAAGTCGATTTGGTTTTCTATAATATCGAGAGATTAAAGAAAACCAAATTATTCAGATCCTTGATCTGACCCTTATGACCCTCACCCTTAATATCACCCTCATGACCCTTATTCTGACCCTCAAAACCCTTATTTTAACCCTTATGGCCCTTGATTTGGAGTCTAAATTTCGAGTGCCAAATTTTCATCACCAGAAGTCTATTTGGTTTTCTATAATATCGAGAGATTAAAGAAAACCAAATTATTCAGATCCTTGATCTGACCCATATGACCCTCACCCTTAATATCACCCTCATAACCCTCATTTTAACCCTCACGACCCTTGATTTGGAGTCTCAACTTCGAGTCCCAAATTTTCATCACCAGAAGTCTATTTGCTTTTCTATAATATCGAGAGATTCGTATATTATTATCGTATTAAATACAATAACGCTACAATTAATATATTAACAAAAAATAATTTTCATTAATCACAATAATTTCGTGTGTAGGTACAACGATGGAACTCCAGAGATCCACGCCAGCTCCATAGGAATGGCTAAAAGTGCCCTTGAGGCGATAAATGGCTGCAATTTGTTCGGTGAAAAAGGCGCATCTTGGTCGGTCATCTACGTGGACATCGATGCTCACAATAGAAACAGAAGTATTTTTGAGACAATGTTACCCAGGGAGTCGTCATCGAAGAGTGTAGACTCGGCTCTGCTGCCCACAATCTCCTTCCCAGCGTTCGCCACTCACGAGGAGTATTTGTACAACGAGACGAAGTCGAATGTCGTGAGAAAATTGAAGGGTTCTTATGGGTTTAAGCGGTTTGGAAGGGATGGGTATAAGACAGTTCTGGAGGATCCAGAGAGAAGATTTTACAAAACTGGGGAGATCAGGGATTTTGATAAGATCGAGTGCGAGTGGCCGCTGTTCTATATTTTTATGATTATTGATGGGGTCTTCAAGTCGATTCCCGAGCAGGTGGAGGAGTATCAGAATCTGCTGAAGCCGAGGATTCATAAGGATGCGAATGGCGATCCTGTCATTCCCATGTACTATTACGTGCCTGAGAAGAATGTTGAGGCTGAGAGGAGCGAACCTTCGAGCTCGTTTAAGGTGGCAAGTGTTGTGGGAAGTGGAAGTCGAGCTGCTGGGGATGATGAGGGACATGGAATGTACCTCTGGAATCAGTCCATGTTCGTTATTGCTCAGCTGCTGACCGCTGGGCTACTGCACATCAATGAGTTGGACCCCATTCGGAGGTATTTGCCGTCTTATAATCGACCCAGGAGGGCTGGCAGGTACTCGGCTTTTCAGGTGAATAAAATATGGATTATTTTGAATTTTTTTAGTGGAGGAAAATGGGAATTTTTATTCTGCTGTGGAGGCAGGTGTAGGACGATTTCAAGGGAGCACTGCAAAGAAAAGAGACATTTGAGGATGAGGATATTCAAGTAGTTTTGTTGATGCCGAATGGAAAATCAGGGATTTATGATTTTTCCGAATCCGGAAATTGTAATTAGCGTTAAATATTAAAGCCGTCTATTAATAGTTGACGCTTAAATTTTTTAAGTATTCAAGTATCAGCAATTTAAATATTTCGAACTGATTTATTAATGAGTAATTTAGGTAGGAGGATTGACGATTATTTGGATAATTGAAACTCGCCTTTTAAGAAATTGGAATTATTTACTTGATGGTAAAATTACTGTTTCATATTATCAAATATTTAATTCATCATTAATCGGAAAAATTAGATTATTAATATTATACTATTTGATTAAACCTTGATTGAACCTTGATTAAACCCGGACTGAAAACGAATTCGAGTCTTGAGAGGGTCTGAATGTAGAATTATTTGACAGAACGAAATAATACGCAAAATTTTGATGACATTCCAATTGATGATAGTACTGTAACATGAAAAAATAGAAGAAGAGAATAGTGAAATAAGAATTAAAAAAAGAGAACGCATTCGGAAGCAAATTGCTAATTTATTTGTAACAATAACTATACTCATTTATAAAAAAATGCTATTGTCCATCAGTTTTTCATTTCAATAATTTTCAGTATTTGTAATTAAGCAATTACTATTCTTTATCTATAAAAATCTATGAAATGTCATTTTAATTTCAATTATCCATAAATTTTCGTTCACTGCTTCCGCATTAAACTGCAAAAAGTACTTGGATATCCTTAAACAGAATATAAATATTTGAAAATCACTCGCTAGAAAATATCAGCCTCATCTGTTAGGATTTGCTCCACAATTATTCTAGAAATAACGAAATTAACTCCATAAACCCATTAAAATAGTAAATTAAATTGTAAAGAAAAACCAAATTAAAATTTCATTCATTTTTATTACATTTTATACAGGCTAAGCCCACGATTGTAAGTAAATCATCGTTTTATCTTTTCACTCTAACGTTTGCTGTGCTCTTTTCACTACTCTAAGCATCTGCAAGAACTACTCAAGCACTCTCATAAGCCTTGAGTACTGGTTTTGTTTTCATGATCGAGGAGACGTTTGATTTGCATGGCATTATAATACTCTAATTACTCAGACTAAAGAAAATGGAAGAACTCTGCGAAATGTCCTGAAATTTCCTGGGGGAAAAAAATTAAATGGAGAATGAAATCTACTAAATTCTCTGGAATTCTAATTATTCGATAATCGATAACGTAATAGTAATAATTATAGAGACAATTCCCAATAGAATAAGTTACACAAAAAAATCAATGTCTATATTTTTTTCTATGAAAAAAAAACTATCGAAAAAGGCGCGCAGTTTTTAATTTTCAGTAGAATTTACGCAAAGAGAAGATAGAATTATCTAATATAATTAATTAATAATAAAACACCACCAAAATTTTTATAGAATGCCAGAGAATTTTTAATAAAAAAATCTAGTGAATTCGCTAGACAATTCTATTAATCTTTTATCGAACTGTCTATTAGTTTCTATAGAAGTCAATAGAATTCGATTTTGCTATACAACTTATTATTCAAATATTTTATGTAAAATTTCGTCCACTCAAATTTTTCAGGTTTTTTCATTCCATTTTTCTTTTTTCACCAAGAAAAGCTAACAAAAAACTTGAAAAATTTGAGCCGAGGAAATTCTATAGAAAATACATTACATAATAATAATCCGATAAAATTTTTCATCGCCGAATTGAATTCTTTGCTATTTTATGTATTCTATGAAAATGTGAGGATAGGAATTGAATTTATGGGTATTGGCTCTTTATTCGAAAAAATATATCAATTTTAAAATTTTCCCTAGACATTGAAAAATTAAAAATTCAGTTTTCCCGTTGATCTCGTTTCCCTTCCTCTTTTCACTTTCTTCCACCAGAATTATATAATAGAGAAAAATGAATTGGTCTTTCTTTATTATTAAAAAAAAACGTTTTGAAATTTTCAAGATTGAAAAAGCGATTTTTAAAATATATTTCTGATTTTCCTTCCCCACATTTTCCGTATTTCCTGCTTCTGTGAGCGGAATACAATCACAGGAATTAAAAATGTTGGTCTCCCTTCATTTTTTAAGAAGAAAAAAAACAATTTGAAAAATTTCGAAAAGACAGAAAAATATTTTTTTTCATTTTATTGATACTGATTGATGATGATCGATCTCTCTTTGCAATTTCCTTCTTCGGTTCCATTGAAATGAGATCAAAGAGATGTAAAATGTTCATATTCGTTCACATTTTCAGATCATTGGTACAAATTAATTTAAAGAAAAAGAAAGAACTGAAAAATCTCAGGTATGATTATCTAAAATTGTGTGCCGATCTGTATTCTCACGTGATTTATGGAGAATTCCTCTTCATTCAATGTTGTCACTTTTGAATTAAGGAACAAAAATATACACAATAACAATAAGAATGAATAAAATTGAATTAATCTAATTGTGAAGTCGGCAATAGAAAATGAAATAAAATAGCATAAATTACTTTTCAGTCAACAAAATAAGTTTACAGAAAAACCGAATTCTATTCTGAATTACTTCATCCAAAAATCCATTTCGCTCTGTTCTCCCCTACTACTCCCCCCGCAAATTATTTCTCCAAATAAAAAATGTTCTCCCCTCCAGGGAACCCACTCCGACCTAGTGGTCCAGATAGTCCTAATCGCCGAATCCATGAGACTCCAAGCAATGATGGCAACCTACGGCATCCAGACCCAAACCCCGCACGAGGTGGAGCCAGTCCAGATCCTCTCGTCAGTCCAACTGGTGAAAGTCTACCAAAAGCTGGGTATAAACCGAAAACTGAAGCTCCAAGGTAGGCCAGCGCGTCCGATCGGCTCCCTAGGCACCAGCAAAGTCTACAGAGTCTGCGGAATGACAGTCCTCTGCTACCCCCTGATCTTCGAGGTCTCCCAGTTCTACCTCTACCGAGACATGGCGCTGCTGATCGACGACATAAAAACCGAGTTAAAATTCGTGGGCAAGTACTGGCGCCTGTCAGGGCGTCCAACAGTCTGTCTGCTGATCCGCGAAGAGCACATGAGAGATCCCCAGTTCAAGGAGATGCTGGACCTCTTCGCGATGCTGAAGAAGGGCTACTGCGACGGGACAAAAGTGAGAATTGGTCGTCTGCAGAATCTGATATCCTCCTCGTGCATCGAGCACTTGGACTTCGTCAGCTCAATGGAGACAGACCTGGAATTATCCCAATTCAAGCAACTGAAGCACGATTACATCGGCTACCAGAGCCTGACGGACGTTCCCAGGTCTCTGTCCTACGCAGAGGAGCCAATAGACTACTCCAAATTCAGCAATGAGTCCACCCCGAATATTCTGAACGAGATACGAGGCACGTCAGGACTGTACGCCAAGTGCCAGCTGTACGGAATGCTGCTGAAGAGGGAGGGAATGAATTACGAGATCGGTGGGATGACTGTTGGGGATCAACTGAGGGCACTCTACCAGCAGGCTGGGAGCCTCAGGTACTGGATGGCAGTGAGGTACTGCAGCAGTTTGTTGAACCACACGGTGGACAGCATAAGCCCCTTCATCACTGGAGTCCTCGTCAAGGGCAAGCAGATCACGGTGGGAGTCATTGGACAGCAGGAGACTGTCTTCGATAAACCAATGACTCCATCGGAGATTCAGTCCGTCATGTACTCCACTATTCAACCCCACAATGTCGTGCAGGCTGTCCTCCAGCAGGAGATTCTTCTGTACTGTGGGAGATTGATTGGCACCAATCCTGACATGTTTAGGGGCATTCTCAAGATCAGGATTGGGTGGGTGTTGGAGGCCATCAGACTGTACTTGGAGCTGTTCGTGAAGAACCCCAAGCCCATCGAGAATTACAGCCCCTACGAGATCAGGAGAATTTTGATCAAGGTGTTGACTGTTAAGGATTGGGCCTCCAGGGAGCATCTGACTGTCATCAGCAGAAGGAAAATTGAGGGGAGTCTCTGCAGAGTTCCTCCCCATTTTTACAATCAAGTGTGGGAGGTTTTGATGAGGTGTCCTGGGGGCATCAAGGTCAATGGGAGGGAGCTACCCCAGCAGCCGACTTTGTCTAATATGACGAGGTCTGAACTGACTTTCGCTCTTCTGGTCGAGTCGATACTCCATCACATTCATCTACCTGAGTATCGGCAGATTGTCGTTGAGCTGCTGAATATTGTGTCGGTTATCCTGATGAGGAACCCAGAGCTCATGTTCCGGAGGGAGTTGGATCTCAATGTCCTGGTGGAGGACGCTTTCACAATGTATTGCAAGGACCACAACATCGAGAGGAGCTCTGACATGTCTTCTTTCTTCGCCGCTCATTACTCGGTGACTACTGGGTATCTTGCCAGGGCGGTTGTCAATAATGTCCTCACTGGGGGGTCCGTAGTCACGCCCGTCGATTTCGACACACCTCGGGAGTCCTCGGAAATGTGCAATGTCAGTTAATAGAGCTAGTGAGGATTGTGCAGGTCATTTCAATTCGTTCTTCTGGTATTTTGAATTTTTAGCAGTTTTATCGTGTTCAGACTGGAATCTTCTGTGCCATGTGTATAAAATAGAATACTCAGTGTGTATCGATGACTAGTTGTGCGTTGATGTGAATTTGAAATTGTCGTTTTTATTGGAAAGTATTAAAGTATTTAAATTTATGGATTAAACAATTTGTTCTCCTATTTACGTTTTCAGCACAGATCTTTCTGCCATATACTTTTGGTCCTCAAGTATAACTTGTTGTTCAAGTTACAACTCGTTGCTAACCCAAAAACGCAAATTAAGCATTCTCATGGTTTTTAGAGACTAATGCAGTCATGCTACTGTCATTGACGGTTGCCAATACAGCCAGATCGTTTCTGGACGGAAACTGGACTCCAGTGTCACCGTGAGACTGATTAGGTAAGGCAGTCCATGCTTATGGAAACTGAAATTCTTTCAGTTTCGCGAACGAAAATAATATGGATGAAACGTGGAGAAATGCTTAAATTTCCACATTCGATTTTCGGGGTCATTACAATAACTTCCTCCCTTCGGGTCGGGAAGTTAAAAATATTATTTTCTTAAGAATCAAATAATCGACGTGCAGACTGGGTCCATACGTCACAGCATCATTAATTAATTAATTAATCATGGAATAGTTGTAATAACAAGAATCACTCAAGAAATCTTGAACAAAAAATTGATCTTTAATTCTGACATATCTCACATCCAATACCATTCATAATCATCATAATGATGATGGTTAATTGGAACAATACGATAATTAATCTTTCAAATGTTACAAAATTTTGCATCAGTTTCGACAGTGGCAGACCCCTTTCTCGCACCATCCACCCCTCTTCCCTTGCAGAATGCAACGGGCGGCGCAGCCTCTGTCACCCACACCGATGAGATCACAGATCACTCGGGGCTGTGGAAGGTGATCATCTTCCACCTCTAGATCACCATTCACTGAAATATAACATTATTGTTTGTATTAATTTCTTATTGATGTTGTTAATGAACTAGCTTACAGATGAAATCATTATTTATTTATTTATTTATTTATTCAGTTGTTATTTAGTTATTTATCTATTGCAATAAATGAATAACAACTGAATAAATAGCGCATAAATAAATAAATAGCTAGTAACACACACACACACACAGACAGACATTTTGTTTAAAATTGTCTAGGAACATCGAAAAGACCTTGAAACATGGAGATTTGATGGAAAATCGATTTTTGATTTTCGGGGCCATTACAATAACTTCCCTGCCGGGAAGTTAAATATATTTTTCCAAGTAAATTAACGTACGCAATAACAAAAGTTCTTGAATACTTAATTTTTCTCTTAATTTTATTCTTCTTTAATTAATAATCACGCCTGATGAATTTTACTCAAAGCCATTCTTATTCAAAGACCTAGACTTCATTAATAAAATGACGAAGCTTCATGGCGTTACATAAAAAATAATGAACTTATCTGTTTGCAATTCAGGCAGACAAAACCTTCTCCGAACGTTGTAAAGAGGACATTTAGTAAAAATATGGTAACCATAATTTCTAGATCGTTTCCATTAGAGACATCACATAAACTCGAGAACAGATGAAATTAAAAGAATTCATTACCTGGAGATGCGGCGACAATCGAGAAAATGGCCATCGCCACAAAAAGGGAAAAGATCAGGAACTTTGCCATAATGCAAGACTTCTGGTTTCGATTTCTTCGGATTGAATCTGTTAGCTTGGAATGATCAGATCTCCCTAATTCAGCCTTATATAGGGATGTGGGCTATCTCCGGGAAGAACCGTGAAGTAAAAATGATAATCTATCAGAAATTGATCTGCGTCGAGTGGTTCAATCGCACTGTCGTCTTCAGCGATTAAATCAGTGGTATTTTGCTCCTATCAAAAAGTAAGCCTCGGACAAGTGAACAGTAATGAGATTCTACGTCGCATTTTAATGTTTATGCATAAAAAAAATAAACAAAAGGTTGAGGATAGATTCGCATACCACACAGTTTCTGAATGAAAAATGAATTATTCAGATCCTAAACTTGAGATGAGAAAAATGAAAAAATTCAGGCAAATTCCCTTTTCAGAAAATTGCAATAGAAATTGCATTTTCCTTTATCATTCCGTATCATTGAAAAGAATCTTCTGCGTTTTATGGCATTCCTCATTCCCCTAAGTCACATGATAATAATCAGTCCGCGGGAGGAGACGCCCTACGATGCCCTGTGGATTCCCGCAGCTGAGCCTATCTCTTTTATTCATCCGACAATGCCCAAATTTCCATTATGAGTTCTGAAGATGAAATAATACGTTACATACGTGGTGACATAATCCGAAATACTGGCGCGCACGTTGTTTCCTCATAATAAATAATGAGGGATGAATAATCATTACCTCCCGGCGCAAGTAGGCCAAACCCACATGTGCAAAGATAAAAAGAAGTGGAAATTCCCCATCTAAAACGCTAACCAAAAGGTGAAATTGTGATCGTTCAGCCATGAAGACATCTTTTTCATTAAGACTTCGCATGCCAAAATTTTCTGATTGATGTTTCGGGGAATTTATCGTCAGCATTTACGTCATAACCGAATCACACGCTTTCCATAATCACGTGGATACACGGAGAGAAATGTTCAGTAAAAATTACCGAACTCATAATTCACTCACCGATTATGGAATCGACTCAGAAAATTTAAGTGACGGTAGGGTAAGCCACCCAGTAGATGGACGAGCTACTTTTGGATAGGAAATTACGCAAAAAAATGTTGAAATGCGAATTGTTACTTTGAATTTTCACTAATTGTTGTGGTTCTTAACCCCTGAATGGCGAATTTTTTTTCGATCATTTTTTTTTCAATTCCTAAAAAACAAACGTCCATCTACTGGGCAGTTTTCTTAGGCGTCCACCTACTGGGTTGTTTACCCTATCGTGATTTTTCACATGAGATTCAGATAAAAATTACGGAACGCTCCGGAAAAATTTCGTGACAGTTCCGTAAAATTTCCTACAACCACATTTCGCCCCGGAATTAACGAAAAGATACGTAATTTTTATTGAATATTTCTCTCCGTGTATAAATCTAGAGTCCTGATTAGCCCATCACCTGGAACTTGCCTTTCAATATCAGTAGCGAAGCGGTAAACCGGTTTAAGTCGATTTAGACTATTGGTCAGTTTTTAATGAATATGTGGGAACCTAAGGAACATAGAAATTTTTTTGTAATAACCTTTTTTGTAGCTCTCAGTTCGCTCTACAAAAAAGGTTATAATGAAAATTTCGCTATTTCTCTTGAATTCGGAGATATTCCTCGAAAACTCAGCGAAGGGCTAAGTCGACCGGGTGGTTTACCGCTTCGCGACTGATATTGTTGTATTTAATTAAGTAATAATTCAGAATCAATCGAAGGGGCGTCTTTATTGACACTTCTCCATAATCAATAATGGAACAAAGGCGAATCACACATGAAGTTATTCCCTAACATGAGAGAATGACAATCACCTTTCTGTTATTTTCCAAAAGAGGAGAAGAGGATAGATTAAATAACCCGATTCCGCAACAATGAATATCTCCAATTGAAGCGTGGCATGTAATGTATCTATATATCTATTATTTACTTGACTTTAATATTTACCGCATACATTTATTGCTCTGTATCGGAGATAACACATTCAAATCGCAGGGAGACGATTAAAAAAATCGCAAATATTAGTTGACATATGTTATTTGCTGACGTTGAATCAATTATTCAAATTAGAGTACTTTGATAGTCACTATAAAGATGGGCCGAATCCCCGAAATATCACAGTCTTGGCAGCAATCACTAGGAAAAGATGATGAAGCTCACACTTGTTCTCTTCGCCGTCCTGCTGGCATTCGTGCCCCACGTAAGTTTTTGCAATCAACGATATCATCATCACCTTGAAATATCAGTAACGAAGCGGTAAAACGGCTCAAGTCCATTTTGACTATTAATCAGTTTTCAATGAATATCGGACGCCTCGCGTGCCTAAATCGTCCCTTTTCCCTTAAATGTGGTTGAGAGGGAAAGACAGAAGAAATACACAACACTATATATTGTTACAGGGTTCCCAGGCTTTGTCCCTTAGCGAAGTTTTGGAGAGCACCAGTCACAAAACCCAAGGAATGGTAAACGATGCACTTGCCAAAGCTGAAGAAATCGTTGCAGACGCCAAAGCAAAGGCCGCGCAATGGGGTGAGGAGTTGAAGAAGAGAGTTAGAGAGTTCTTACAGAAAATGGAAAACCGAGTGAATGAAGTCTTGCAGAGGGTGAACAATCTGAATTTTTTACTTTCCTCTTCTCAACAGACTATTCTGACCTTCTATGCAGAAATTACAAAAAAAATCATGCTCACAGATTAACGAACGAGTCAACGAAATCGTTGGTGATCTCGACGGTCCAAATGTCTCTGAATGCCAAAGACTAGCTGGCACAGTCCGTGACGCTTTCATAGAAGTGATTGAGGACGATAAACAATGTGTCATTGGCAAAGTGGTGACCGGTAAGGGGTACATCGCAAACATTTCTGCTATTGCTAACGAAGTTAGGAGGGAACTTAAGGCGCTGCAGGAGGAAGCTCATCGGTGCACTGAGAATATCGATGGAATTAAAGCTACTGCTGGGGCTATCGTTTGTGTGAACAAGGTACGTAGGAGGTCATCTGAGAACAACCTATCTCATGTAGGATACCCCAGAGTGGAGTTTTCAACGTAAAGATTAAAGTGCTAAAAGCATTAGAGACTAGGAATTTACTCTCAGTGTCTCTCATGGCTCTTTTCACGTGCTTTTACTACGCTTTTCACCTTAGAGGTTCAAATCAATTTAGGCCTCAGCTGAGTTTTTTAGCGATATCTCCGAATCTAATGAAGATAACAAAATTTTCGTAATAACCTTTTTTATAGCCCTGAATTCCCTCTATAAAAAAGGTTATTACAAAAGTGCTGCTATCTCCCTTAGATTCCCAGATATTCATTGAAAACTGGTGTAATGCACTTCCCATTCTTTAGGTGGGACTCACTGCTGCGTGGATCACCGCCACGAGACTTCCAGAAGCTACCGGTCTTGCTATCAAGCTTGGATTCCTCGTAAATACTCTCCCAATTACCCTACCCCACTGCGCTTCCAAGAACGGATTCAACGTGCTCACTGAGAATGTTGATCAGCTACTCTCTGGTGTCAAACAATGCGTCAAAGAATCCGTGGAGGGTGACAAAAAGCATCCAGAGACCACTGTAGCTTCAACGGTCACTGTTCCAACGACAGTACGAGTACCGGAAATCACGGAAAGTGTAACGGAAACTACAGAACTCGTAGATGAGGTCACCGAAACGGTGGATGTGACTGACTTGCCCAATGAGTTTTAAACTTGCTGTTGTTGAGATGTTGTCGAAAACTATTCTGCATTAATAAAAAACTGTTCCAATTCTACCATTAGCAATTATATTTTATACGATGCATTTGAAAATCTGGAATTTCCTAAATGAGAGCTTATCGTCTTTTTCGATATCAGCAGCGAAACCGAGAAACGATTCAAGCCGATTTTGACGATGAGCCAGTTTTCAATGAATAACTCGAAATCGAAGGGAGATGGCAAAATTTTTGCGAAGACCTTTTTTGTAGAGCGAATTGAGAGCTACAAAAAAGGTCGTAACGAAAATTCCGTTATCTTCTTTAGATTCGGAGATATTCCTCGGAAACGCAATTCGAGAAGATTAAAAAAAATTTGAGGGCATTCAAAAAATTTCAAGGTAATTCAGGGCGTTTCTAGAAAGTTCGTGGGAATTTGAAAAGTTTCTAGAGATTTCGAAAAAATTCAGGGAGTTTCTAGAGAAATCGAGGGAATTGGAGAAGTTTCTAGAAAAAAATTCGATGCACAGAATTTCTAGAAAATTCGAGGGAATGCAAGGAGACACCATAGCGTATTGTTGTATACCCACTAAATCTTAAGTAGTTTCCCAAAAACCTTACATTTGTTAACCAGATGTTCCATCCAGAATTTCCTCCCAATTAGTTTATTGCTATAGTCCGTACAATTTCCAATCCCTCACGTTCCTACTTTATTGCACTCTTCCGTCTAAAGTTTAGACTCTAAACCCTTCATAAAATTCCCTAAAGGACTCTCCTTGGGACTTTCCCCAACACCTCAGAATCTGGCGTCCCTCATTTCTCTCTATCTCTTAAGTTCAACCCTCAAAGGTCATCCCTCGTTAATTTTGACCAATCAAAGGTCTTGGGCCTTTCCCCTTCCAGTTCCTCCAACACTTCGACTCACTCACTGAACACTTTAGAAAACTCGGTTCCAACTCCAAGTTCGACAGAATCGTTGTAACCCTCGAATTGAGTTGATCACTAAAAGTTAAACCTTGTACTTATTTTAGTCTCAAAATAAAGATTTAGAAAATAGTAAATACTTTTACTTTTCTGGAATCCAACAGTATTCACGTAGAGTTATTAGAGATATACATGAATATATATTTTTACTTTCATGAACATTTTTGTTATTGAGTTGTTTTTGTGGCTTTGATGGGCGATTCGCCTGAGGCCATGAACAAAGAATTATGAATTGTGTTAATGAATTTCCTCATCAATGAAATGTAATTAAGATTTTCATTATTAGTATTGAACCTGCGCCGCAGGTCATTATTTTTCTCTCAATACAATAAATTCTCAATTATACTTCATTAACATCGATCGTTAATGCACATTCTGTTGGTCGTTATCTTTGTCGGAGTACCAATAAAAACTTGGGAATCATCAACGGTATCTACCGTATCCAATATTAATGTTACCTCCAATACGTCAGTCTCGGATACTCAGTGGGGCTTGAGTAAATACAGAGTAATCACGGACATTCACTCGATAATCAACTTCAACTGCATATGTTATCGTCTGAGTTGTCATCTTGAGATCTTCCACGTGCGTGTGACATTCAAAAATAATGGTAAAATCATTACAACTATTTCTGGAAAATAATTGATAGAAATTTCATTAAAAAACTCGATTTTGTATAGAAAATTGTATTGGATTTCTATTTAATTGTCGATTAGGCTTTTGCCGATTTTATTAAATTTCCAGTTTCATTACAATAAAAATGTCCAATGGAAAATATCCTGTAGAAAAAGTCAATATATTTTGATTCTTAATAACTTGAAGAATAATTTTGTAAACACTTGTATTTTTTAACAGAATAAACCACAGTTCGAATGCTTTAAGTAAAAAAATCGATTCTTATGTCTAACTTATTCTATCAAGATATTTTCTATAGAAATTCCTCGCTCCAAATTTCTTTTTTTTTCGCTTGATTTTTTCAATGAAAAGAAAAGAGAAAAGAATAAAAAAAAAATTCATGTCGAGGAATTTCTGTAGAAAATATCGCAATAGAAAAAATTGTATAGAAAGATGAATTCTAGTTTTTTGTTTAAAATTCTTTCGATTGGGCATTTTCTGCAGGAAAACGCGCAGTGAAGCTGCGGAAAATGGGAATTCCAATAGAATTTTCTATCGAATTCATTAAGTTTAGATTGAATGATTGTTTTTAAAAACACAAAAAATTAATATCCAGGAATTTCTATATAAAATATCGTAATAGAAAAAATTGTATAGAAACATGAAATTCTAGTTTTTTGTTTAAAATTCTTTCGATTGGAGATTTTCTGCAGGAAAACGCGCAGTGAAGCTGCGGAAAATGGGAATTCCAATAGAATTTTCTATCGAATTCATTAAGTTTAGATTGAATGATTGTTTTTAAAAACACAAAAAATTAATATCCAGGAATTTCTATATAAAATATCGTAATAGAAAAAATTGTATAGAAACATGAAATTCTAGTTTTTTGTTTAAAATTCTTTCGATTGGAGATTTTCTGCAGAAAAACGCGCAGCAAAGCGCATGGGAATTCCAATAAAATTTTCTATCGAATTCATTAAGTTCAGATTGAATGATTATTTTTAAAAACACAAAAAATTAATATCGAGGAATTTCTATATAAAATATCGTAACAGAAAAAATTGTATAGAAAGGTGAAATTCTAGTTTTTTCTTTAAAATTCTTTCGATTGGGCATTTTCTGCAGGAAAACGCGCAGTAAAGCTGCGGAAAATGGGAATTCCAATAGAATTTTCTATCGAATTCATTAAGTTTAGATTGAATGATTGTTTTTAAAAACACAAAAATTTATATCGAGGAATTTCTATATAAAATATCGCAATAGAAAAAATTGTATAGAGAAATGAAATTCTAATTTTTTGTTTAAAATTCTTTCGATTGGACATTTTCTGCAGGAAAACGCGCAGTAAAGCTGCGGAAAATGAGAATTCCAATAGAATTTTCTATCGACGTCGTTAAGTTTCGATTAAATGATTGTTTTGGAAAAAACAATCAATAGTAATGAGAATTCTAATGTCCATTTTTTCGTTAACAGCCGCGTTCCATGGTTCTGGACAACCTCGACCCGAATGACGCCTACTTCCAGAAGATTCTGCACCGCGGATTGGGTGACGACACGATCCAGGATGTGCAGTTAGTGGAGAAAAGCCCGGCGTTGAAAAAAGGGGAGAATGACCTGAGTTACTTGACAAGATTCACCCTCAAATACACGTGCAGCGTACTCGAGGGACTGCACCACAAAAGAGTGCACAGGGTGGCACACCTAATCATGAAGGAGGAGCCAGATGCTGAACTGCAGACTTTGGAGGTCATCCGGGGCATGGGTATTTTTGATACCGAGCGACGCGTATTGGAGGACGTTCTACCGAAGATCGCGGAGCTAGTTGGGAAGCGCTTGGGCCCCAGGGTTTACTACTCTTCGGATAAGCCGGACACTATTGTTATGGAGGACTTGGCGACTCTTGGGTTCCGCAACAAAAACCGTAAAATAGGGTTTAATGAGGCGGAGATGTTCATGGTCTTGGAGAATATCGCGGATTTCCATGCAGCATCGGTTTTATTGAATGAACAGGTATAGGAGATGGACTTTGCGCACGATAAAAATTCGAAAACGATAAAAAATTCGATTTTTAATTTAATTTTTAATTTTTTAAAAAAAATTTTAATTTTTTTTTAATATTTAATTTGTTATTAGAATGCTGACTGCGTGTCTTGCTTTTCGAACGGCTTCTTCACAACGAAGCTATCGGAGGGCGTTATGACATTCGTCTCGCAATGTGTGGAATCCATTGGAGACGGAGTTCGTGACTGGCCAGATGAGAAATTCGTCCTGATATCTGACAAGATCAAGAAGAAATCGAGGGAGATTGTGCAGAAGCTTCTGCTGGCGTACCAAAACGACGCGGACGAGCTTCTAGTTCTGAATCACGGCGATATGTGGAACAATAACATCATGTTCAGGGACGACGGAACTGGAGAACCTGAAGAGGCTTGTTTCGTAAGTACACGAAGAAAAAAAGAAATTTTTTGGGAAAAATTAGCAAATAAATCGAGTAATCGTGGACAAATCAAGTAATTAACTATCTTAATAACAAATAATATCGCTGTAATCCGCTTTCTTGCCCCTAATGTATGTCGTCTGAATCGACCACAGAGTTCTAGCAATTCACATCTTCTCCCAGGGTTGAAGTTTAATTTTCTTCAATTTTTCTTAAATTTTTGGTGCTTTTTATCTTGATTGTTTCATAATAGAATAGAATGCGAATAAAATAAGCAAACAGAATATCAATTTTCATCACAAGATTTTTTTTCAATGGTCTTTTTTCCGGATTTTTTTTTCCAAGATAAGGATTTTTCAAAATAACCCTAGGATGAACTGTCCTAGAATGAAAAGGGCAAGGGATAAATTAGCCTACACTGAGAGAAAAACTCTTTTTATCTTAATTGTTTCATAATAAAATAGAATGCGAATAGCGATTAATCGCTCCACGATAACTTTTCATTTGGTAAAATCGTTTAGTAAAATTTTCTAGATCATTTTCCTCCAACTTTTCTCTCCGCGTAGCTCTAGACTCATTGAATAATGAGATATTTGATGACCGCATTCACTCATTGTCCTCCAGGTCGACTATCAAATGTGTATTTGGACGTCTCCTGCCATCGACCTACTCCAGTTTCTCCACGTGGCCCCAGAGCTCACTATGAAAATGACTCACGACGATGTATTTTTACAAAAATACTTGACTCGTTTGTCGAGCACAATGAAAGCACTGGGCTGTTCTACAAATCCCCCCACCCTGGAGCAACTGAAGAAATCCATGTTCAAGCGTCGAGACTATGCGCTCCTGGCGACATTTTTTTTTTACCCGAGAATGGAAGCGGATGATGACGAATTGGAGAACGCAGACGACATGGTTGGGAAAGGAGAATCGGCAGTGGATTTCTTGAAGAATCCAAGGGTTCGGGAAACCATGGCGAAGATCCTTCCAATATTAGATGAGAGGGGTTATTTGGACTGAATTATTTTGATATAATTTGATAAGAAGATGATGAAAAATGAGATTGAATGCTCTATGAATACATTCCAACTCTATTTTGACTGTTGTAACAGTCACAGTTCAGTGGAAACATTTCTCTCCAGTTCACTAAGTCTCAGTAATTTGTGTTTATATCTAAAAGAAGACATAACAATATAAATTCAATGTTTTCACATTTACTAAATTCATACGAATTGCTATTACATTTATTCTAAATTCCATTTCAAGATTTTTGGAAAACTTCATTTCGATGACGAGTGATTCTCGGAAGAAATAACAAATGAATTTTAATATTTCTGCAGCTGCAGAAATTTCCAGCAAAACACGTCCTCAACCTTATCCAAAATAATTGCTCATTCATCATCGTTCATTTAAAATAGCTCTTTATTTCATCATATCAAAGGAATAATATAAAATAGTTTCGTTTAGTCTAAGAAAATCCGTTATTTCTGTCTCACAACTTCTTCAGAATTATTCAAATAACATTAATTGTTCTCATAATCAACTTTGAGTGATGCTGAAGTCTTACGAAAAAAAGGCATTCTCAGGACAGTCAATCGTCGAATGATGGGAGTATGAAAATAAAATATCGTACAGACACGAGAGGATTATTTGAATTGTCCACTTAAAACTCTAAAACTTGATGATGATTTCCCAGCAGTGAGAAAAACCTGTAGATGAAGGCAGAGAGGTTGGAGAGCACAGGGCAAGGGGGTTTCCTCATTTTCCATACTTCAGTCATTGTCCGTGCTAATTCGTGAAGTGTTTTGGATATAACAGCGTAGTTGCCCTGGCGTATCAACTCAAAACAGTCGTCTGAATTGTCGTCAAATGCCTCGTAGATGGCCCACACGTGCGGAGGCACTTGCATTGCCTAAAGTATGAGATTTTCATTTCCTTATTTGTTTGGGAGAGGAACGCAGAGATAACGGAATAATCAATATAGGAGACGAATTCAAAATAAATTAATCTTCACTGCAGATTTAATTTTAGCTGAAGCAATCGGTCGAATTTGATCAAATTCACTCAAATCAAGTGATTCAATTGAACTAATTGATTGATCGAGTCAATCGTTTTATATTATATTATTCTAATTTATTTTATTGTTTTTTTTTTCAATTTTTCTTTGCGGTTAGATTAAATTAAATTTATTGGAATCTATTCACATTGGAGTATATGAATTGTGGGAACAGTTTTTCTCATTTTCAAACGAAGAGGTATTTAGGATAAATAATAAGGAGAGTATTGATACTTTTTGTTGGGATGATGATCGATTCGCAAAAAATAAAAATTTCGATTTTTCAATGTCTCCAGAAAGTTTTAAAATTTATATATTTTTTCAAATAATGATCTTTCATTACCCATCAATTCAATTTCTATCCTCACACTTTGATAGAATACATTTAAAAAATAGCAAAGAATAAAAATCGGAGATGAACAACTTTATCGGATTAATATGATGTAATTCTGAATTCATCTACTGTTTTGTCTGTTTTCTAATTCTATACTGAACATATCCCCGAAGGAAGAGGTTTAGCTGAATTCATCGAGAGTTATTCTAGGATTTGTTAAACTAACTTTCTACTGAAAATTTTATAATTAAAAAAAAAATCTCCGGGTATTTCGCCGCAAATTGAATAATTTCAGATGTAATTAAGGAACAGAAAATTTTCTGTCTGAATCAAGTGTTTTATCATTTCGGAAATTAGTGACGTTGAGAAAAAATGGTAAAAGACTTCTTTTGCAGACTTTTTTGTAACATTCTCTGGAGAAAATATTTTCTGACGAAATTGCGAAGGCCATCTCCCCCTTTTCTTTATAATATTTCATGAATGCGTAAAAATAGTGAATACTTACGTCAAATGAAGATTTCTCGGAGTCAATCCAATCCTCCTTGCAGGCGATGCACTGGCAGGGGCCTCCTATTATCATCTTGAGCGCCTTCTGACGATTCTTTTTCAGAGCTGTTTCGAAACGACAGCCCAAGCACCCAATCAGCTGCATATCAAAGTCAAAGAATGCCAAGAGTTAATTTGCTGAATTCGGAAGCAAAAATTAAAAAATAAAGACCAATTACCCTCTCCCCCTTTTTAACCGGATAATGTGCAAAAACAACAGTCTTCCTCCCAAAATTCCGATGCGAGATATTGGGAGAGCAGCTGTGAGGGAAGCGAACGTACAGTGGCACAAACGTCGAGCCACACTCGAACTGACGCCTGAAGTCAATGCAGGTGCAAATATCCTGTGCACCTCCCATCATTATCAGAGTGAATTTCATCACGAGACCCCCCACAAAGGGCACCCACTCGTTCTGGAGGAAACGCTGGACGTTCATCTCCTCCCCGAAGAATTTGCTCTTCGTCGCTAGGACGAAAGTTGTGAATACGGACATGAATGAGGCTATGAGGAGGAATTCAGGATCTCTCGCTGCTGCGTGAGTCGGGAGGCTGAAGAATGTCTCCAGAGTTCTGCCATCGAACACTGAACCTGAGAATCCCTTTTTCCACAAGTCTGTCGTAAAATGAAAGGATCAGTTGAATTATTTTACATGACTGCATGATTTTTTATTCTCAGCTTGAGTTATTCCATTATTTATCAATTGTCCATTATTAATTAATCATTCATTAATTGCCTGAGTTATTCCATTATTTATTGACTTATTAACTCAATCATTTTTTTATGGTTTTTTTCAGAAGACATTCCTCAAATGTTCTACGCGAAGTAGCCCTCAATAATTTCTCCTAATTAGCTCGTTATGAAAACAATCTGACGTGTAACAATTAATGAAACTGAATAAATCTGTTTTAACCATTTTTTTCTATCTTCCATTCATCTTGTTAATGTTGAGATTTATGAGAAAATGTCAAAACACCTTTTCGGTGGCTAGACAAATTAAATAAACTAAATAATTGTTCCCATTTTGCTGAATAAATTCCTTATGAAATTCAATATTTATTGTTTTCGATTTTATTTTGTTCTCATTCCGAATCACCACGATTAGTTTTCCTTTCTTTAAGAGTTTTGCGTTTTTAGTAGGAACTTCATTAGCTATACTTACAGCTGTAAAAAGATCTTCGAATTTTTCGAGAAATTTGAATTTTGATTTATCGATATTTATAAGTACACCTATAACTATTTATAGTTATAATTATAAATAGTTATAAGTATACTTATAAATATATTCATGGATATGTTCGTGGATTTTTCTAAAAGGGATATTATTTAATGACCATTTCAATAGAACAGGTAAAAACTAATAGAAAGTTCAATAGAAATCCAATAGAATAGCAATTCCTGTGTAGAATTCCAATTCCTCTGGCGAAACCAACAATTCCCCATAAAAAAAAAATACTCAAGTCCCTCTGATACCCACCAGGATCCTTCTCCATCCTCCTGACCCTCTCCCTGAGCGCCTGAAGGCTCCCCGCCTCCTTCACGGCCTTGATCACAGCCCTGACGATCATGACCCTCAGATTATCGGAATGTATCCCCTTCGCCTGGATCATCTCAATGAACCCGCACTCGACCTCATGATAATCCCTCCAAGCAGTCTCCCTGCACCCCTCCGAGCAGTAAACCCTGTTGGCGCAACTCCAACAGGGCACCCCGGAGAGGGCCTCCAAGAAGCAGTGAGCGCAGTAGCTGTAAGCTTTAGTCCTCTCCACAGCCGCCACAAAGGGCTCCTGAATGGCGATAATCTCCCCAGGTTTGATGTCCCTCGTGGCCTCGAGGTGCACCCCAGACTCCGAATGCCTGAGCTGAATGGAGCTGGAGGCCCCGACGATTTCAGGATTCTCCTCGAAGACGTTCCTGAGGAAGACCTCGGAGTTCCACTTGGCACGAGGTCTCGGGAGGTTCTCCATCCTCCTAGGATTAGGGATGCAAAGTGACGGTAATTTGTCACGAGGTTCGGAATAAGGGTCACGAGGTTCAGAATCAGGGTCGTGAGGGTTTGAATAAGGGTCACGAGGTTCAGAATGAGGGCCGAGAGGATCAGAATAAGGGTCGTGAGGTTCGGAATCAGGGTCGTGAGGGTCAGAGTAAGCGTCCCGAGGTTCAGAATCAGGGTCGTGAGGGTCAGAATAAGGGTCACGAGGTTCAGAATGAGGGCCGCGAGGATCAGAATAAGGGTCGTGAGGTTCGGAATCAGGGTCGTGAGGGTCAGAATAAGGGTCACGAGGTTCAGAATCAGGTTCGTGAGGGTCTGAATAAGGGTCACGAGGTTCAGAATGAGGGCCGCGAGGATCAGAATAAGGGTCGTGAGGTTCGGAATCAGGGTCGTGAGGGTCAGGATAAGGATCACGAGGTTCAGAATCAGGTTCGTGAGGGTCTGAATAAGGGTCACGAGGTTCAGAATGAGGGCCGCGAGGATCAGAATAAGGGTCGTGAGGTTCGGAATCAGGGTCGTGAGGGTCAGGATAAGGATCACGAGGTTCAGAATCAGGTTCGTGAGGGTCTGAATAAGGGTCACGAGGTTCAGAATGAGGGCCGCGAGGATCAGAATAAGGGTCGTGAGGTTCGGAATCAGGGTCGTGAGGGTCAGGATAAGGATCACGAGGTTCAGAATCAGGTTCGTGAGGGTCTGAATAAGGGTCACGAGGTTCAGAATGAGGGCCGCGAGGATCAGAATAAGGGTCGTGAGGTTCGGAATCAGGGTCGTGAGGGTCAGGATAAGGATCACGAGGTTCAGAATCAGGTTCGTGAGGGTCTGAATAAGGGTCACGAGGTTCAGAATGAGGGCCGCGAGGATCAGAATAAGGGTCGTGAGGTTCGGAATCAGGGTCGTGAGGGTCAGGATAAGGATCACGAGGTTCAGAATCAGGTTCGTGAGGGTCTGAATAAGGGTCACGAGGTTCAGAATGAGGGCCGCGAGGATCAGAATAAGGGTCGTGAGGGTCAGAATCAGGGTTGTGGGGGTCAGAATAAGGGTCACGAGGTTCAGAATGAGGGCCGCGAGGATCAGAATAAGGGCCGTGAGGGTCAGAATCAGGGTCGTGAGGGTCAGAATAAGGGTCACGAGGTTCAGAATGAGGGCCGCGAGGATCAGAATAAGGGTCGTGAGGTTCGGAATCAGGGTCGTGAGGGTCAGAATAAGCGTCCCGAGGGTCCCACAAGGTTCAGAATCAGAGTCGTGAGGGTCAGAATAAGGGTCGCAAGGGTCCGATTAGGAGTCACAGAGGTCAGAATAAGGGTCGCGAGGTTCAGAATCAGGGTCGTGAGGGTCAGAATAAGGGTCGCAAGGGACAGATTAGGAGTCAGGGGTCAGGTTAAGGGTCATGAAGGTCCGAATAAGGGTCACGAGGTTCAGAATCAAAGTCGTGAGGGTCAGAATAAGCCTCACGAGGTTCAGAATCAGCGTCCTGAGGGTCCAAATAATGAGTCACAAGGTTCAGAATCAGGATCATGAGGGTCCGAATAAGGGTCACGAGGTTCAGAATCAGGGTCATGAAGGTCAGATTAAGAGCCACGAGGTTCAGAATCAGGGTCATCAGGGTCAGAATAAGGGCCACGAGGTTCAGAATCAGGGTCATGAGGGTCAGAATCAGGGTCATGAAGGTCAGATTAAGGGTCACGAGGTTCAAAATCAGGGTCATGAGGGTCAGATTAAGGGTCACAATTTTTCAATAACCATAAATAAATTCCGATTACGTTCGTAAAGAAAGAATAGCTATTCCCGGCGCCAATATTACCAAAAATAACATTTTTTCTGATCTCTGGGCCGTAATTGACCTTCGGTCAGTGACGTGTAAAATTACGGTAAATTGACCGGTCAGCATTGTCCGTTACATCCCTACCTAGGATTGCTCAGGATGTCCTCGATCATTCTGCGATGAGGATGCCTCTTGTCCATCCTTCTCAGCCACTTCCTGGCGTTCTCCAGGGCTCGATCGACCTCGGAGGAGTCCTCGGGACGCAGGGCCTTGAGGCACAAAGCCCTTCGGGCGAAGAGTTTCGACTTCAAACGGTCAGGATACCCTGACTTGAAGGCTCTCCCTATGTCCAGGAGGGCGTCCTCGTAGTGGTGCACCTTCAGGAGGATTGCTGAACGATTTGCGTAGGCCAGGGCCATCTCCGGGGAGCTCTGGGGGGCGTACGCCAGGCTGACTGTGAACCCCTCGAGGATGACCCTCACTGAGCCCTGGGGATTGCTCAGGTAGAGGTCGTTCGCTTTCTCTCGGTAGAATTTCGACTGCTTGGCGTTCTTCGTGGACCTGGGGCTCTGCAGGCGCGACATCCAGCTTCGGAAGCCCTTGTGGATTCTCATGCTGTTCATCACTGTCTTGAAACGATCCTCGTCGGTCAGGTGCGGCAGGGAGTCCATGTCGATCGTCTTCTTCATTGACTCGAAGTCGAAATCTGAGGTCCAGCCTCTTATTTTGTCCATGGTTTTTTAAGGGATTTGGGGGGAGCCGATTATTCTGGGGATGGGGTTGGGCTTCCTTGCGCTGATGAAGGTTAGGAATTTTACATTTTTTTAAGGTCAGGGGACCAGTTTGGGGAATCGGGGGGCGAGGACCACTGGCGATTGGAGGTTTAATTATAAGTCAGTTGTTTGGGGTTTTGGGGGGTTTATTTATGGGTGACTGGGACACTGGGAACGATGACTGCGGATTTGATGTTGATCGCTGCGGGGATCAGATTGTGACTCATGACGCGTAGTCCCAACTCTTTTGTGATAAGAGGTTTGAAATGAGAGAGGTCGGCAATGAGGAGATGCTTGGGGTTTTATCTGCCAAGTTGTGGGCTGTGAACCATCTCCCGGAAGGGGTGAACAGGGAGATGACAGGGAGACCATTTTGTAGAACAATCTAGCTAATTTCGTAGCAAACTGGATTGTTGTAGATTTTTTTTGGAAAACTATTAGTTTTTCGCAGGTTTTACTAGGAAAAGTCGCTGTTTTTATGCGCGTTTTTGTCAAAACAAAAATGTTCAATAGACTTTTTTTATCAAGAAGATAAGAGAGTTTGATTTTTCTATGCAAAACTTTGTTTTTGTGGGGGATTTGTCATGGTTTTATTTATGGGTGACTGGGACGATGACTGTTTGTGGATTTGATTACTGCGAGGATAAGATTGTGACTTGCGGCGCGTCCCTCTTTGTGATAAGAGGTTTGAAATGAGAGAGGTCGGCAATGAGGGGATCCTTGGGGCTTTATCGGCCAAGTGATGGGCTGTTGACCACCTCCCGGAAGGGGTGAACCGATCCGTGAACAGGGAGATGACAGGGAGACCATTTTGTAGAACAATCTAGCTAATTTCGTAGCAAACTAGATTTTTGTAGATTTTTTCTGGAAAACTATTAGTTTTTCACAGATTGTACTGGGAAAAGTCGCGTTTTTGTCAACGGAATGTTCAATAAAATTTTCATTCATTTTTTTATGAAAAAGATAATAGAATTCGGTATTCCCATCCAATTTGATCTATCAAAATATTTTCTATAGAAATTCCTCAGCCTGAATTTCTCCAGTTTTTTACTCGATTTTTTATTTTGATGAATGAATTTATTCGTTTCAAAAAAAAGAGTCGATAATGAAGAAATCCCCACAATCCTTTACCCCCGGAGTAAAAATCGGAAAGCCCTCCATCCCAGCAGAATCCCTGAACTCGCAGAGCACGACTCCACGCCAACAATCCCCCAAACTCATCAGTAAACCCCGAGTCCCCAGTCCCTCGACAATCAAAACCCCCCTAAGAATCTTCAGCAGTATAAAACCCCAGAAATGTCGAGCACAGAGTCGAAAATCGTTCTGACCCAGCGCACCCGCACCGAGGTATTCACATACCACTACGAATGGAAGATCAAGGACTTCAGCGGTCGTCCAGAGCTCCCAGGCCAGTGCATAAAGTCCTCGGTATTCTCCCTGGATCCGAAGACAGACGAGAAGTGGTACCTGAGGTTCTACCCAAAAGGGACACGACCAGAGGAGCCGAATTTCACGTCCCTCAGGATGTGCCTAAAATCGGACGATGGCCGTGAGGTCCACATGAAGTCGGAGGTTTCAGTGCTCACTGTTCACCAGGAGAAGCAGTACTCGACCACTTGGGTCCACAAGTACGTCTCTGGTCGCCCCTTTGGGCCCACTCGACTGTTCCACAAGAACTGGCTGACAGAACATCCCGAGAAGTGTCTGCCTGACGACACTCTGACTCTCCTGTGTCAGTTCACAGTCGTCGAGTCTGAGGGCTCGTCCATTTACGATAAACCCAAGTTCAATGAGGTGGAGAGGCGTCTGGGGACTGACATGGGAGTCCTGCTGATGGAGGAGGCCAAGTTCAGTGACATCACCTTCGACTTGTCTGGGGAGAAGATCCACGCTCACAGAGCCGTCTTGGCTGCTCGCAGCCTCGTCTTTGAGACTATGTTCAAGTACTACGAGGGGGTGGTTCCTATCAATGATATCGAGCCCGAGGTCTTCAAGGCCATGATGACTTATCTTTATACGGATATTGTGCCCAAGCTCAAGGAGATGGCAGGTGAGTGGGGACGCACGAAAAATGTTAGTAGAAAATTTGATCCGATTGTATTGAAATGTTTAATAGAAAATATTCTATAGGACAAGGCAATAGGATTCGATTTTTTCATGCAAGTGTTCCATTTATTTATTTATTGCCTCTTTATTGATGACTTGAGATCATATCCCTAAGGGCAAAATTAAATTATACAAAGAGTTTTTTACGCATGTCCTGCAGGACATGAACAAATTTAATAGAAAAACTTATCGAATTGGTTAGAAGATTCTATTGAATTTCGATTAAACTTTCTATTAGTTTTTGGCTGATTCTATCGACATGTTTTTCACTGCAGAATCAATTAACAATCCAAAATGGCAATGCAACTGTTCCATTGATTGCCTCTTTATTAATGACCTGAGATCAAATCCCTAAGGGCAAAATTAAATTATACAAAGAGTTTTTTACGCATGTCCTGCAGGACATCAACAAATTTAATAGAAAAACTTATCGAATTGGTTAGAAAATTCTATTGAATTTCGATTAAACTTTCTATTACTTTTTGGCTGATTCTATTGACATGTTTTTCACTGCAGAATCAATTAACAATCCAAAATGGCTATGCAACTGTTCCATTGATTGCCTCTTTATTAATGACCTGAGATCAAATCCCTAAGGGCAAAATTAAATTATACAAAGAGTTTTTCACGCATGTCCTGCAGGACATGAACAAATTTAATAGAAAAACTCATCGAATTGGTTAGAAGATTCTATTGAATTTCGATTAAACTTTCTATTACTTTTTGGCTGATTCTATTGACATGTTTTTCACTGCAGAATCAATTAACAATCCAAAATGGCTATGCAACTGTTCCATTTATTGCCTCTTTATTGATGACCTGAGATCAAATCCCTAAGGGCAAAATTAAATTATACAAAGAGTTCTTTACGCTTGTCCTGCAGGACATGAACAAATTTAATAGAAAAACTTATCGAATTGGTTAGAAAATTCTATTGAATTTCGATTAAACTTTCTATTACTTTTTGGCTGATTCTATTGACATGTTTTTCACTGCAGAATCAATTAACAATCCAAAATGGCTAAATAAAATGTCTATGAACAGGTCGATTGTTAGAGATGGCTGAGAGGTTCGGGCTCGACAGCCTCAAAGCCATGTGTGAGCCCGTTCTCTTCGAGTCGCTCACCACCGAGAATTGCGCTGATATTCTGGTGAAAGCGGACTTGTTCAGAGCAGCACAGCTGAAGAGTTCTGCCATTGAGTTCATTACGAGGAACTTGAGGGATGTTGTCAAGTCCCCTGGGTACCAAATACTGGAGAAACAGCATGCAGGACTGCTGACTCAAATTATTCTGGAGATGGAGCCAAAGTCGAAGAAGATTAAGACGTAGGAATGAAGAGGTTTGAGTTTTGTCTTCAATGAAAGTGGCTTCCGCTGTTGATTAGGAATTGTTGAGACGATTGATTATTTAATGTTTAAGGACACTAGACTCTTAGGGAATTTTGGAATTTGTAGACAGGGAACTTCGGTTATTTGATAAGAGACTAAGACATTGAACAGTGAATTGGAAATGACGAGGGGAGTTTCTTTGAAAATGTTTATTTGTCGTTCGTCAAATTCAAGGATTTTTTTTTAGTTGACAAAATTAATTGCAATTAAAAAAGTACTTCGACATTTTTTCTTAAAATTATTCATCATCAATGACAGTTCCATTGAAATCGTGAACTAGTCGTCAAGAATTTCAGGATTTCATATTTATTATTTAAAGTTTTCAGTGTCATAAAAATAATTTTCAGTTCTTAGAATATAAAAAACCGGTGATTATTGAGATAATTAATTATTTAATATTCAAGGGAATTTTGACAGTCTTATGGACTGGGAACGTTTATTTAATAATTAACTATATAAAATTAATTTATTTAATAAAATATTAATTTCTTCATTCGTCGATATTATTAATATTCAGTTCATTGTAATGAGTGAATTGACACATTCTCGTTGTTTTTTAGTTGACGTAATTGATTGCCAACTAAATTAATAGCCATTCTTTCCTAACATTATTTCTTCACATAGTCAACAATTTCAGGATTTCATATTAATTAATTAAGATTTTTCAGATCGTTATAAGAATATTTTCCAATACAAAAAATATCAAGATTTGTGTGTGACGAGAGTTAGAGGAGGCAAAAGGTGTACAGTTTAAAATTAATTACAGTGACCAATACAAAAAAAATTATTCTTCGCAAGAAAATGTTGTCATTCATTAATTACGCCCCACAACCGTTGAATGACGAATTAATATCTCAAGCAATTTCAGCTGAACAGGACCTGCATCAGTGAAAAATATCGTGAGACTGTTGTAGGAGACTATTCTCCACAATATTTTTCATAAAAAGTTGATCCATTATCTGTCAAACAATATTATTTTAATTTTTTTCATGAAAATCACTTTTTGCAGATCTCCATTTGGGCATGAAGACACTGTTGCGAATTATTATATTTGTTTATTCTTTTACATTTTTACGCCTGAACATCTCTATCTGCAATTTCGTAAAAACGTCAATGACTTTTATTTATTTATTTATTTATTCATTTTTTTCGGTCAACTGTAAGCGATGTTGCTGTGTGTTAATTTAGAGTAGCTCTACCCTTCGGCTTTCAGTTTTTTAATTTTTAAATTAAATTCCAGGAAAAAATTTTGAAAAAATTCATACCCAGTCAATATTATCTAAATTAAATTTCGCAAAATATTGATATTTTTTCAAACATTTCCCTCATATAAATAAATAATAAAACTTGTTTGTAAAATGGTGAATTATTTTTTATGAGGTGTCAAAAAAATTCTTGATTTCTTCACATCTAATGAAAAAAAATTCAGATTTTAATCTTTGATTATAATGGAAATGTTGATTTTTACATAAGACACTGGGTTAAATCCTGATTTTTAAACATTTCTTCTTTGAAAAACCAAAACGATAATATTTAATTATTGAGAAAAAAATTACAATTCCGAATCTAATCGTGTTTTCTGCAATTTTTTTGCAGTTTCGAATGATGCGTCTACTCAGAGATGGCGCCTGTTGATTCGATTCAGGGGCGTCATCAAGGACGCTTCCTGACGCTGCTGCGTGTTCCGTTGTGCACTCCGCATTCAGCCATTGAGCTTGTCTCATGTTTTACAAGTGTTCAGAGTTATTTACTCGTTTGTCATTCTCGTTTTAATCTGCATGTAGTGTAGGCGGTGAGGATATTGTTTGTTCTGAGGCTGTGATTCGTTTTAAATATTTTAAAGGTATGTTTTTTTCCCATTTTTTTATTAGATTTGCGGGGAGATATTGATGCATTGTTGGGGAGAGGTTAGCTTGCTCTGCATCTAGTGGACATGGCAGAATCCATATCAAGATTTTTTTGGATTTGTCATTTTACTTCTTCTTTTATAGAAATATTTCTTCGGAAATTGTGCTCTCATTTAGTGCAGAAATATTCATAAAAAAGAATTCTCAAATTGATTTAATTACATTCGTTTTGGCACTCTGTTAGGAGAGAAATAAACAATTTTCAATCTTTGGAAATGTTTCAAAAACAAATTTTTACCCGAAGAATCTCGATAGAATCAGCTGCATAAAAAAAATTCTGCTGATTTTGTCTAGAATATTTTCCGTTAGACGTTTATGAAAAAAAATGTGCAGAATTTTTCAGCAGAATCGACGAAAAACTAATGGAATTTTTAATAAAAGTTCAATAGGGGTGGCTGGGGTAAAATGGACACTAGACTTTTTTTAAATTGTTCATAACTCAGAGACAAATTCATCAATTGAGCTCAGTTTAGGCTCGTCAGAAAGGGAAAGAACTGTTCTTTGTATTGAAAGAAAAATCGTCAAATTTCATCAACATTTCAACCACTTATTAACATTTTTAGAAAAGTCAAAAGTGTCCGTTTTACCCCAACCTCCCCTAGAAATCCATCAAAATTTTCTAGCGAATTCGCCAAGTTTCCTTACTCTTCTGAAAATGTTATTAGCTTTCCTCTCTCCAAGATGAACAGAAATTCATGTTTCCTTTCTCATCACTCCAATGTAAAATTTCTCCCCTCGAAGTGGTTTTTAACAGTTGATAATCGACTTTTATTCAGTAAAAATGCGACGAAGTGACGACAGATCAAGAGAATACCGGGACTCGAGGGATTACCTCCCCGAGGATAGATTGAGAGAGCTGGAGAGAAAAAGAAGAGAATGGAGAATTGAGCAGGAGAAGCGACGAGAGCACGAAAAACGCAAACAGAAGATGATACAAGAGTGGGAGGCGAAGAGAGCCAGAGAGCTCGAAGGGAAGAACCAACGGAGAAGATCAAAGTCACGATCAAGATCAGCGTCACCTGGACCCAGCAGACGACGTGGTAGAAGTAGATCTGTAGAGAAAAATAGCACTCGTGCCAGCACCAAAGTTCCTGTCATGTCTGAGAGGTCTATTTTACCCTATTTTCCCTCGTAAACTTAGTTTTTGGTTCAATTCTTCAGTTTTACTAACAAACTTTACGATTTTAGGTTCGATTCCGCGTCGTCCTCTAATACTCCACTGTTTAAGGGCATGGAGGGAAGTAAAATTAGTGTTAGTGAGCTTAAAAAGATTAAAGTTAATATTCAACGAGATATTTCGAAAGCTGAAGAGACATCTGAGTTGTTGAGGGACATTACTAGCCCTGATGAAATCGTCCTCAAACGAAGAGAAGGTAAAAGAAGTTTGATTGTGTTCTTATCTATTCGTCGATTGATCACAGTTTGGGGTATTTGATGGTGGAAAGTAGCTACAGATAAGACACAAATTGTTGTGCTATTGATTTCGAAATTTGGGAAAATGGGAAAGAGAAAAATGGGACGAATTTTACTGGGGTTTTGGGGAATATTCGGCAGTGAAGACTTCATGAAGATCCTGTGCTGAACAGATGCTGAATTGATTGGACAATTTTCAATTTTCGTCGCAGAAACAATTTTGTGCAGATTTAATCTTCATTTTGTATTTTTTTTCGTATATTTCCTGCGTGTATTGAGACGCAAACAATTGAATAATATAGTTATCAATCGGATGTTCAGGATTACTTTTTTATTATTTATGGGAAATGAGCGACTTGAAGATTGTGGAGATTTCGTCTGCTAAATTCATCGGAAGATATTCAGGTTTCACCGGAATAAACCTATCGATTTGCAGAGTGTAGAATTAATTTCAATTAATTTGAGAATCGTGTATTATTCGGTAGTTAATTTAGACAAAAAATTACTTATCAAATTTTATTTTCAATTCATTCAGTTTGATTGTGTTTTATCTATTCGTCGATTGATCACAGTTTGGGGTATTTGATGGTGGAAAGTAGCTACAGATAAGATACAAATTGTTGTGCTATTGATTTCGAAATTTGGGAAAATGGGAAAGAGAAAAATGGGACGAATTTTACTGGGGTTTTGTGGAATATTCGGCAGTGAAGACTTCATGAAGATCCTGTGCTGAACAGATGCTGAATTGATTGGACAATTTTCAATTTTCGTCGCAGAAACAATTTTGTGCAGATTTAATCTTCATTTTGTATTTTTTTTCGTATATTTCCTGCGTGTATTGAGACGCAAACAATTGAATAATATAGTTATCAATCGGATGTTCAGGATTACTTTTTTATTATTTATGGGAAATGAGCGACTTGAAGATTGTGGAGATTTCGTCTGCTAAATTCATCGGAAGATATTCAGGTTTCACCGGAATAAACCTATCGATTTGCAGAGTGTAGAATTAATTTCAATTAATTTGAGAATCGTGTATTATTCGGTAATTAATTTAGACAAAAAATTACTTATCAAATTTTATTTTCAATTCATTCAGTTTGATTGTGTTTCTATCTATTCGTCGATTGATCAGAGTTTGGAGTATTTGATGGTGGAAAGTAGCTACAGATAAGATACAAATTGTTGTGCTATTGATTTCGAAATTTGGGAAAATGGGAAAGAGAAAAATGGGACGAATTTTACTGGGGTTTTGTGGAATATTCGGCAGTGAAGACTTCATGAAGATCCTGTGCTGAACAGATGCTGAATTGATTGGACAATTTTCAATTTTCGTCGCAGAAACAATTTTGTGCAGATTTAATCTTCATTTTGTATTTTTTTTCGTATATTTCCTGCGTGTATTGAGACGCAAACAATTGAATAATATAGTTATCAATCGGATGTTCAGGATTACTTTTTTATTATTTATGGGAAATGAGCGACTTGAAGATTGTGAAGATTTCGTTTGCTAAATTCATCGGAAGATATTCAGGTTTCACCGGAATAAACCTATCGATTTGCAGAGTGTAGAATTAATTTCAATTAATTTGAGAATCGTGTATTATTCGGTAGTTAATTTAGACAAAAAATTACTTATCAAATATTATTTTGAATTCATTCAGTTTGATTGTGTTTTATCTATTCGTCGATTGATCACAGTTTGGGGTATTTGATGGTGGAAAGTAGCTACAGATAAGACACAAATTGTTGTGCTATTGATTTCGAAATTTGGGAAAATGGGAAAGAGAAAAATGGGACGAATTTTACTGGGGTTTTGGGGAATATTCGGCAGTGAAGACTTCATGAAGATCCTGTGCTGAACAGATGCTGAATTAATTGGATAATTTTTAATGTTCGCCGCGGAATCAATTTTGTAGAGATTTAATCTTCATTTTTGTATTTCAATTTTTGAATTAATTGCAATTTATTTGACAATCATCTAATATTCGGTAATTTATTGACAAAAAAATTATTTGTCAAATTTTGTCTTCAATTCCTTCAACTTTTCAAAATTAAAAAGTGAAATTTAATGGAGAAAATATTCTTGCATATGTGAAATTATCGACATCGAAGACTTCAGCGGAAATTCAATCACTTAGATTCATCGAAAATCTCCAAGATAATACTTTAAACTTAATAATTAATTCAAAATGAAACTAATTTGGCCGGAAAATTCGCTATTCATTAACTCTTAGTGATTATGCCGAATTTTTATGAATAACAATCACCGAAATTTAGTGAAAGAAATCTAGAAAGAAAAAAAAATGAATTAGTTTCGAATAAAAGAAAATTTCCCCCAAGACAAAAATTCCACCGTTGAAGATTGACCGTCGATTTCACCCAGAAGATTAGAATTATCACCGCCACGGTAAAAATAAATCAGTATCTAATGGTTATTATCAATCTAGGAGTGAGCCTCCAGACAACCCGTCTAGGCGGGACGGGGGTTTACGAGATTTCTGAGGGGCTTATGAGTAAGCATTTTTGTTATCTATGAACGTTCGCTTCTTCTTGGGTTCATTTTATCTGACAATGTTCTCATTCACGAGCGACTTATGAGCTTCAATAACATTTCACGCTTGAGGCTACCGCTCCAAAATCCCACAAGTGTTGTGCAAGCGGTTGTTTCATGATCTTTCACATTCATTTTTCAGCTTGAACTACTGAGAAAGTGGTATGGCCGATGGTCTCCAACTAGACTAGTTGCTAGAGTGGACTTTTCATTTTCTGTTTCGTTTTTTCATTGGTTTTTCTCTTTTTCTCATGCATTTACCATTTTATCAAATAGCTGTGTCATTCTTCATTTGCGACTATTTCATTCACAATAACAGGAAAATCAACGTTACATTGAGACTAGAACTTCCATTTTTTCGTACATAATTTCTAGTCGACTGATCTTCCTCGTGTGAAGAAATTTAATAGGAAAACCTAGTGAATTCACTAGCCAATTCTATTGGATTTCTATTGAAATGTTCAATAAAAAAATATTCTATAGAAAATGTCAATAGAATTCGATTTCTCTATACAACTTATTCTATTGATATATTTTCTATAGAATGTCCTCGGCTCAAATTTTCCAAATTGTCTGATTTTCTTGATGAAAAGAAAAGAAAAATAGAATGAAAAAAATTTCGGAAATTCGAGCCGAGGGAATTCTACAGAAAATATCTCAATAGAATTATTTAGAGAATTCGCTAAATTTTTCAATTATTTATTTTCATGCGTGTCAAAATGATAAATTATAATTTTCTAATGTTTTTGAATTTGATGTTGCACTAGGAGAAGGATCAAAGCCTATTTTCGATCGTGAAGAGTTGAAAGTAAATGAAAGCAGTGCAGATGATGTTTCAGAACGACGAACGATTGTTCTTGATAATGTTGGAACTGGTAAGATTATCACATATTTAATCAATCTTTATCACCTCATATCAACGAAGAAATTTCTAATCTTTTTATCAAATTTTTATGCTTCAGACAAGAAAAGATCATCAAAACGTCGCTCTAGATCCCTAAGTTCAGGCAGACACAGAAGTCGGAGTTCACGTAGACCATCGAGGTAAGCTCACTCATGCGAGTCAGGGTAACATAAAATAAGAAGCCCTTAAGGTAAGGAATATTCTATAATATGGATATTAGAATGATGAGGCATGGAGGCTAGTACTTTCCGTCGAGTTTTCGTCGATACAGTGGCGTATATTTGTTCATTGGCATCCGGAAAATCCGATCGTGCTGCCCTCCAACCTGAATCATTGATATTGATATGGCTATTGACACCAGCACCAAATGTACCTTTCCTACACAATCGTCTCTTCAATAAAGTCACGAGTGGGTTGGGTCCAGAGTACGTTTTTGGATGGTGTGAATAATCATACTGTTCGTATATCATTGGGATTGCGTATTAATCTTCTTTTACAGCTTATTCGATATTTGTTGAGAAAGAACAGTTGCTACACATAAATTCATATGATTGAATACTGATATCGTCGTTTTGTAAATCAGCTATGTTGTTCACTTGGTTGAAGTATGTGATTTAAAATGAGAATCACAAGCTCCTGGGTTTGAACGAGAGCTGAAGTAAATTTCAAGCGAATTTTTTAACCCGGCTGTGAGGTACACTTGGCTGAAGCATGTGATTTCTAATCACAACTTCCCTCGTTGGAGCCCTAGCCGGGTGATTAAATCATGATTGACATCGCGGCGTACTCAAATCGAGTCGAAGCGATGGAAAATCATAATCAAAAAAGGTATGATCATTTTCAACCGAGAATTCCTTGCAATGTTTCATTGGAAGGATATGATCGACAACAGAGGTACTGGTGACATCCAATGGATTGGATAAAGCGACAGTATGAAATTACAATCTGTTCTGTTCCAGTAGCCCATGCATAATGAAGATTATAGGATTTTATCGCTACATCATGAAGATGATACTGCAGATGAAGACACTGAAGATAACAACGATTGGAAGATTTACGTAGTATGGAGGCCATTTTCAATTATGAATAGTTATTTTAGGCGGACAATTGGGAATTTTATATTTTCATTCATTTTTACACCCTTTGTTACTTAAATAAGACACGGTACAATTCACGCATTCTCTTACTTGTTCTTCTGGAAATTTTTTCATCATGAAAAGTATGAGAAGAATATTATGGCCCAACGCCTTCGACTATTGAATGGCGTTGAATGGTTATCTCCTTTTGCATGGTTTTTCATCATGAAAAAAAAAAATTTAATAATCAGGTGAGTAACAAAGGGTTAATCTGGGATGTACACTCGGACATAGTGGGCTGTCTAAGGTCATTTGGGCATGGTTGCATTAAATTCTTTTCGAAGATGAAAATGAAATTATTGAGCTAAGGTTGATGCAACTAGGAATTGCTAAATCTATTAAATCTATCCTATGCAGGATTAGTGGAGACCCCTAATTAAGAGGTCTTCTCTAATTCTGCGTAGTATTGACTTGCATTTCTCCTTAGGTGAAGGATCAAAGCCCATCTTCGAACGTGAAGAGTTGAAGACAAAAGAAAGCAACAATGTTGATGTCCCAGAACGACGAACAGTGGTTGCTCTCGATGAATTCGAAACTAGTGAGATTTAACGATATTAATTAATTGAAATTCACGTGAGTGGGCTGTTTTAAAATTTTTTCTTTCTATCTTCCAGATAAGAACCGCTCAACAGAACGACGCTCCAGGTCCCTGAGCTCGGGGAGACGTACCAGCCATAGCTCACGGCGAGCATCAAGGTAAATGTTCGTGCTGCAAATAGATCTGTTTAGAGATCTTCTAGGTAAAGCACATATAATACAGAAATCGATGAGAAATTAGTTTCAGTTTCATTATTGGTACCGTACTTGCTTTTTCAACATTCATATGTTTTATTTTCATATCTCTTCCTTTCCGTTCATTTTGTTTCAATTCACGACATGTGCAATTTGGATTCTTTCAGTTGATTCCAAGTATTTGTAGTTAATAGCGGGTTCTAGAATTTCTGCCAACATCTTCATAGATCCTAGAACCTGCTAGAATGTTCTGGACTATTCTAGAAAGTTCTAGGAGTGCCTAAAGATTTAAATTTCGTCTATGCAAGCTCTTCCACTAGATACATACGAGGACAATTCTTTCCAACATTGACTCCACGACGTAATAATTCAATGTTTACATCACAGGAAAGTGATGTGGACGATATTCAATGAAAAAAAAAACGGATCAATTAATAACTTCTGACATTCACTTTTCTCACGTTTTTGTTTTTCGTACTGACACGAACAGGTTCTCACGATCATGATTTCCTCTTTACGTCGTCCATTTATTTCATCTACAGTTTAGTTTGAGCGCTCCATGTATACGCTCGAAACCAGGTAAACATTATGGCATTTTTCAATCGAATTTTTTCTCGTTTTAGGTTTTTTTAAATTTATTTCCCATTCTGTTTTAATCAGTCTATTTATTGACTTTTATAGCTTATCAGGTGAGGAAATACAATTTTCTTTACTAAAAATAGTTTATAAGTTAGTAAAAGATAAATGTACTAGTGCATAAGTTGAGTTAATTCTGCTCAATTATGGAATTCTTATTGATGGATATACACACGTGTCCTTGTGTGTTTGACATTTTTCTCCGTCCTAATTATTAGCTAAGAGGAGAGGAAAAGTAAAGGAGGGGAGGCAGGCTAGAGGAGGGCTTTGAAATCGAGAACTACTTCGATAAAACCAATGAAATAGAAAAATAAAAAAATTAATTATTAGCTAAGATTGTTATTGTGAATGCCAATTTCATTTAAGGAGAAAAATGTCATACTGGATAGGATACAATGAGTTTTGCTTGTAATTTATCCTTAAATGTGGTATTTATCAGATTTTCTCTTTAGGCATGATGCAGCATCGAAATCGTACACAGAAAGACATGACAGAGGTCATTCGTATGATAGGTAAGACAGATGATCAGGTAAACAATAATTCGGTGAGCGTATGATTAAATTAATATGGTTACAGGGGCAGTACTACTAATGATAGATATCATGAACGAAAATATCCCAGCAGTCGTAAGTCAAGTCCGGAACGAGTTCGTGATTCAAGATCTCGACGATCTCAGGATCGAAATGCTCGTGCTGGATCGCATCGAGACTCTACTTGCAGAGAATACCAGGATTATGACAGTTATTCTCATCCCAGGAGGCATGAAGTCGACAGAAGACCAGCTGCCTTATCGTATGCCGAGCCCATTACGTTTCCCATGTATTATGATGTAAGAACGCTAGTGTTAATGTCGACGAACTGTTGAAAAATATGAGGAATGAGAAGTGGCGCAGTTCCAACACAGTTTTGACACACAATACAAAACTATATACATTCATCTGTGCTGTTCCTTATACCTCATATTTTTCATAGTGTAGGCTCTTACCATGGTTTCATTTCATTATTTTTTATACGTACAGAATCTGGTCAGACCTATGATGATGGATCCTATGATGATGATGCGGACTCCAATGCCCATGATGAGAGGGAGAGTACCTGCGATGATACCTACTTTCAGACCCCCGTTCAGACCACGATTTATGCCATCAGAGATGTTTAGGCTGAATGGCCCTCCAACTCAACGTAAATAATTTTGTGTTTTGTATTTATGGCCGTTCACGAGGAAAGAGTGAATGAGAGTCTTCTGTTATGGAAAAGAATGCACGTCACATACCACTGAAATTTGATAACTTCTCATGAATGTGACATTATGAAACTGATATCTAATTGAAGCTACCCGGTTCCTCTGTTCAATATTGCTCATTTGATTACATTAGTTTTAATATTTTGGGACGTATTGAATTTTAAACCGAGTATAGGTCGGATGGTATATGGATTCCATTTCTGAGGAATTCAACATTATTGGAGAATAATAAGATAAATAATGGGATGTTGCAAGCGTTTAAGGCCCGGTTGGACCATGCGGGCCTTAAAGAATACTATTTTACTGTCAAATCGTTTCGATGCCAATTACAGCTTCCTAAGCTCTGTATCGAGTATCCGTAACATATTAATTAATTAAAAATGGCAAAAACCCCAACAATAACACAAGGATTCGGAGCAACACATGCCAGTCATTATTGAAAACTAACAAATATTGAGTTCTTAATAAAAAAAAATCTAATAACTTCCGGTCTTTTAGCTGGTTTCGTAGGGTGTGGTAAAACGGACACTTGAATTTTTTTTAATATTGTTGCGGGTTCCCCCCTTCGTTGAATGTATGAGCTGAAGTATGTTCTATGCTAAACCCTGAATACTTTTGTCTTTTGATTAAAACTTCACTTGTTCTGGACTCCTGTCATAAAAGACATCTCTTCATTGTGTTCGAATAAAATCGCCCTTTAATAAAACTGATGTTGCGTCATTTATTGAGAAGAATTGTTACACAATATCAATGACTCAATGAATTGTTAATGAAATAGGCTATATATATATTCATTAAAACCCCGCCTCTCGCCACATCATTTTCTCGTGGATGTCCACAAATATCGTTCAACAGGTTTGAATTCAAGTAGAATTAATTTTGATAATTCTTTATGTTCACAGGATATGGCCGTATGTTCCCATGAAACTGCATGCAGGAAGAACAGGTCATGTCTAATCATTAAAAGAATCGCCTCGATTGTGTGAAATGTATAAAGCAATGTATAAAGACAATAAATTTATTCAAACTGATATCGTATTTATTTCATTTTAATAACTCTTCAATGACATTACCACAATAATGAAAATTTAAACGACAGTACAGCTTCTTCAGTGAATTTATAATGCCGTTGCTCACAATTTCTCTTTGATGAATCGGCCATTGATGAATCTTCAGTCCCGGTTAACCTCTAAGTGAAGCTGTCAGTTGAATATTCCAAGTGCAAACGCCCTGTTTATGAATTCTTATAAACAAGTTTTCAAAGGTTTATTCATGGGATAAATTGACTAATTTATTTATAATTTTTTTTTTTCAATGATTCATTTCTCAATAATACCCACAAAATAAATGCATAGAATAATGTACTCCAGCATATTAGTTTTTGCGTTGATACTCAACTTGAACATTATTGCATCAAGTAATCACAGTTATGGGATTGATCCAACAAAAACAATCGTTTGGGGTCCTGGTTTATTTCCTGAAATAGTGATGCGAAGTCGCTACTTTTTCATGCAACTTGTAGATGTCAATGGAAACAAGTAAATATAGTCAGAGGAAATAACATAAATGGAAGAGGATGCAGGAATTGACACGATTTTTAATTTCAGTGTTACTGAAGTCGGTGAAAAGACTGATATAAAGGTAGCCGTAAGAAGTATAAACTCAAATAGTCATACGTGTAGAGTATGGATACAAACTTTAGACTGTAAAGATGGGAGTTATATCGTTCGTTACAGATTATATGAAACCTGCTATGATTTTCATATCGATGTTAGGGTAAACAATAGCACAATTCCCAGTGGATCGATATATAAAAAAGGTATTGATTGTTCAGGCATGAACGAAGATCTTACTATACCAATTAAATAATAAATTATTTTGTTTTCAATAATTGTAGGTCCCGTTTATGAAGAAGAATGTGTCTGTCCAGGTCTTTCACTACAGGATTGGTTACAAAAATACCAATGTCCAGCAAGCTATACTCAAATATTAAGTGATTTGAAAGATTTTCCTCAGATAAACTTTGATGACATAAGAACGCAATTGATAAAAGACTATGCAAAACCTAACAGTGTCAGTCTCTGTCACTATGTAATACAAAATAATCAAGTTAGTGATCATTTATTTGGTGTTAAAGTCAACTGCAGCATTTTTTGTGCTCTTATGAATAATTTTTTACAGATTTTTAGAAGATGTTATGGAGAACATACAGGCTTTAAAGTATTTGCAGATTCGGTTTTGTTGTCGTTAGCCAGGAAAGTAGTTTTACCCAATACAGAATTCTTCGTGAATTTAGGAGATTGGCCACTTGTACAGGAACGTGGGCCGTTGTATCCAATATTTTCATGGTGTGGTTCCAATGATACCAGAGATATTATTCTTCCAACGTACGATATCACTGAATCATCCCTAGAAAATATGGGAAGGTATGTGCATTACTCCCGCGTTCTCCTTCTGGTGTATCATTACATCAGATACATGGTAAAAGTGCTTTTTAATTTTTTAGGGTCATGCTCGATATGTTATCTGTTCAAGGTAATATTAAAACCCCCTGGAAGCAGAAAATTGGGAAAATGTTCTGGCGAGGACGTGATTCCCGTCGCGAACGATTAAAACTTATTGAAATTTCAAAAAAATATCCAGATCTTTTCAATGTTTCAATCACCAATTTTTTCTTCTTCCGAGAAGAAATAGAAAAATATGGGCCAGGCCAACGCCCTATATCATTTTTCGATTTTTTTGACGTAAGTATTCAAAAGACAATAGCAGAAATTTTTTTTTTCCATCCAACCGTCAATCTTTTGCCATTATGCTGCATACCTACCCTGTTCAGTACTGATAATTTTTTTGATATTTATTTTCGGTTGATTGCTGTATAAAAAGCAATTAGGAAACGAGTATATTTAAATCCATTTTGAGACGAAAAGAGCAGAGATTTTCTTTGCATAGAGGAAAATTTCGATGGACAGAATAATTTTCCGAATATGTTTCACTCGACCTTAATTAATAGAACATTCTCTTCGAGTTTCCTTGCATAAAAACTTTATGTGGGTATGAATCTACCCACATATTCATTTGCAACAAATTTATTGGGAAATATTAATTAATTTCAAAGCTTCTTCTTCATGTGATGATGTTACTAGTTATTTTTTCTGTTTCTGCAATAGTACAAGTATCAACTGAATATTGATGGAACGGTCGCAGCCTATCGTCTGCCTTATCTCCTTGCTGGTGATTCTGCAGTATTCAAACAAGACTCCAAATATTACGAATATTTTTATCATCATCTAATTCCTTACGAGCATTTTATACCGGTAAAGGCTGATTTGTCTGATCTCGTAGAAAAAATCGAGTGGGCTAAGAATGATGACAGTAAAACCCGACAGATTGCTAAGGCTGGGCGTGCCTTGATGCGCCAGGTTGCATTACCTCACGATGTACTCTGTTACCATGTATCACTTTTACAGGTCTATAGATAGAATATATTTATCCTATGAGCTTTAGAAATATGTGCTATGAGTGATCGTAAACTAAAAGAGAAATATTTGTTGTAGATGTGGAGTGAAAGAGTGAAAAATCAAATTACAGTGCTGGAAGGAATGGAAGAAGTCAAACAACCAGAAAATTCATGCCCATGTCATGTTAACCACATGGAATCCCACATTGAATCGGACGAGGGAGTGAGCAGGAAAGATGAGTTTTAGTAGTGTATTATATTTTGTTCGTGGAGTCTGCATTTAATAAAGAACACACACTTCTTCCCAGTCTCATATTTGAAATCAGTAACGAAGCGGTAAACCGGTTTAAGTCGATTTTGACTATTCGTCAGTTTTCAAAGAATATCTTAGAATCCAAGGGAGATAGGGAAAAATTTTTTTATGACCTTCTCATAGCACTCAATTCGCTCTACAAAAAAGGTCATTACAAAAATTTCCTTATCTCTCTTAGATTCAAAGATATTTCTCAAAAACTCAGATGAGAGCTAAATTACAGTTTCGCTACTGAAATAGTATTGACCATTTTTTCTCAGTATCATTCTCCATACCTTTTTTTTACAATGTTTTTATTCGACGATCCAAAATGTTGATATATAATATTTACACATCGAAACCGAAACGATAAAAAAAATTGTGGTATTTGATAGCCTTTCGACTTGACTTATTAAATTTTTTTCTTAATTCCAAGGTTCTGCTTGTATCATCAATTGTATTGATATAGTGCCAAAAAATAGTAATTTAGGTGTATTTGAGAAAAAATTAAAAAAGGCGCTTGAAATCATCCTAATAATATACCCCATCTGCGAGGAGGGTAGACCTTGTAATACTTCTCCCGGTAGATGGCTCCCGAATGGTTTAAAAATATTTTCCGCAAGTGCAAAATTTTCGGTTATAATATAAAGTCGAAAGAAATGAGGCATTGAATATGTTGCAATACTCAGTGTAGCGTTTCTATACCATATGTAAGATATATAGTATATATATTTATTTTTGAAGCGGATAGACCATCCCATTACATAATCGAATAACAATTATGTCATACTTTAGCGATATGTTCTATAATATCGGACAAGAGAAAATGTATTTCGTGCTTCGTCCGGTATAGAATACAACTATATACTCAGCTGAAGTAAGGTGGTGATTTGACGAAGAAGCCAAAGAAATTCTCACGATACTATAATATTTTCCTTTCCCATTGGGAGAAATTTTACAGAATTTTAGGAGATGTCATGGGAGAACATAGACTTCAAAATATTTTCGGATTTTATTCTGTTATTATTAACTCTCCGATCCTTATGTGGGGTGTATAAGGAACACCTCAAACTTTCTTCCAATAATTTATTTTAGTGCTTTAGCAATGATGAAACTTCAATCCTAGTTTATTGTTTTGATATGTTGTCATTTGATTTTTTTTCCGTATAGGACAAGTATCAGTTGAATATTGATGGAACAGTTGCATCGTATTCATATCTTCTCGCTGGTGATTCTGTAATATTCAAGCAGAAAACCAAATCTATGAATATTCTTATCACGACCTTCTTCCCTATGAACATTATATAATCATTACACGTAATTTGCCGAATCTGGTGGAGAAAATTCAGTGAGTGAAGGACAATGACAGGGGAGAGCGACAAATTTCTGTTATGTTTCATTCTCTGATGCACCGTTCATAAATCGTTCACCGGTAGATGGCCGACAAATGATTTTGAAAAGTTTTCCGTAGGTATAGAAACCTCTGAATGTAATATAATACCCGGTGATACCCAGCACTTATTACATATATACAGATATTATTAATTGTATATTTATATGCAGAGAATTTTTGAAGCGGATAGACCATCCCATAAAACAACTGAATAATAATTCTAGTCGTCGGCTGATATTTCTTCTCTAATGAGAAGAAATATCGAAAAAGGGGGAGATCGTATCCCTTACTCGACCCAATTTGCACTTGTATCCATTTCTGTTCAAAATGCAATTTTCACGATATTCGGCACACATATCAAATAAACATATTTTATTCTTGTCTCTCAGAAGGTGGATGGAGCTATTGATAATATTAGAAAGAGGTCATCTTGAAAAGGTGGTGAATAATTTCTAGGAGAGGGATTGGAATATGCAATAAATACTCGGTTATTATGAGCCTTGAAACACAATTTTTAATGATAAATCGCCAGTAGTAATCCATAATCAGTTTAATCCTATAGTACAAACCCGGAACACCACACTCATTCCGAATCACGAAACGTTATAAAAGACATTACATCCAAGCTTAAAAAACTCATTCCCTTCACTGCGGCGGTTGTTGATACCCGTACCCCCCATACTGATTGGGAGGAGGCCCCTGCGGCCCGGGGGGCGGTGGCATGTGCCCCGGAGGCCCCCTCGGTGGATACTGAGGATACCCCTGTCCCCCGGGTGGTCCAGGATGCGGTGGATAATTCTGCGGGGGATACTGAGGGTGCCCATAGTGCGGCTGTCCCCCCTGCCCCGGAGGATGAGGGGGATACCCCTGGGGGGGTTGCCCCCCCGGCCCGGGGGGCACATAGGTCTGCGTCGTGGCCGGATGGGACTGAGGGGGTCCGTACCCCCCCGGTGGCTGCCCCGGGGCCGGTGGTCCTGCGTTGCTCGGGGGTCCCTGGGACGGAGGGCCCGAAGTCGGTGGGAAATTCCCGGGGCCAGGGCTGGGGGACTGCTGGTGTGGGGGCCCAGTCTGTTGACTCTGCTGCTGGGAGGGCTGCTGCGAAGGCGGTGGCTGGCTCTGCCCCTGTCCCTGGGCCTGCTGGGGGGGCTGACCCTGGGGGGGCTGCGAGGAGGGCTGAGACGACGGAGGTCCAGGCTGCGTGGGCCCCGGCTGGTGGGGGATCTGGTGGGGCCCTTGATGGGGCCCATGGGGGGCCTGGTGAGGCCCCTGATGCGGGGGCCCTTGGTGGGAAGGCCCATGGGGCCCCCCCTGATGAGGGGGCTGATGAGGCTGGTGCGATGGCAAATGCGAAGGCTGATGAACAGGGTACCCTGAGGGGGTGGGCATGGGGGGCACGTAACTCCCGGCCTGCGACGTCGCAGGTGGGGGCCCACTGCTGGGGTACGTCTGCGTGGATGCTGATGGGGTGCTCGTGGGCTGGCTGCTCTGGGGGTACGTGTTAGCTCCTGATACAGAGGTAGTACTGAAAGGTGGAGATGTCGAGGTGGGACCGTAGGGGGTGGGGGGCCCCCCAGGGCTCGGTTGACTGGAGTAGGTGGGCTGGGGGGGCCCCGAGGACTGCTGGGGGGGCCCAGGTTGCGACGGTTGAGCGACGTTGTTTGATGTGGCTGGAGGGGGG